TTTGGAGGAGGCCTTTGTCCAGCAGTGGACGTCATTTGGCTGAAACGAACGAACGAACGAACAAACGGAAAATTTCTGCTACTACGCCGCAGTAAATTCCTCATCATAAATAAAATGATTTTTTTTTAAAACAAGCTCTTGTATGCTAATAATTTTGGTTTCATGACATGCTCCTAAAATTCATCACCTTATAAGAGGATTTCAATTATTATCTGCGAAACTTTTTAATAATATAGGTACGTTTCATGGTTTGGTAATTTAGGGAAGTTTATTTGCACTTAACACGAAAAATATGGTATCAATGTACTGTGTACCTATGCACCTTCAGTGGCAACAACAAGGTCTAATGAGTACCTATAGTCTACTAAAGGCATGAAATAGATTAATTTCACTAAAAATTAAAACCAACTCCAAAACGACTCACCAAAAGGTAGGCTGCCACGGACTCCGAAAATGGCTAATTTTGTAATCAGTATCCAAATTTTTTAATAAGCTCTAATAGAATAATTCAATACCACTTTATCTTAATTTTTTTTAATGTGACAGGAGGCAAACGAGCAAACAGATCACCTGTTGGTAAATGATTACCGTCGCCCATAGACACCCGCAGACCCAGGGGCGTTACAGGTGTTATTTTTAATTGTGGTATTTTCGCGAAGAAACGTATTGAAAATATAAATTGTTTTCTTCACGTAAATCGACTAAGTTACAGATTCTGACTAGCTCCTAATTTGGATACTGATTGCAAAGGCCTAGTAAATAAATAACGTAATAATTTTTCTACTTGTATTTATCTAGTGCAGTTGTTTTGGAATCAATTAAAGTTTTTTTATACTAATAGATTCTATTCAGGTAGAAAATAGCGTCTGAGTGCGTCATAATTCAATTGTATCATCTGACTGCACGTACTCTATGAACAATTCTGACATAAAATCTATTGTCGAACAAAAGCTGNATTTATGATGTATGTAGGTAATTACATAAATGTTTGTTCGGGTGGAATCTTGCAAGCTGAATTAGTTAGACCAACTTCCTGACGATAACTAGGCTAGATGACAAAATTTCAATTATTTGTCCGTCAGACAGATAATTAGAAAATATTAGACTCAAATTTTTTATTTTCTTTCATAATTAAATAATAACAGTGCTACATCGAGTTGAAATGGCGCGATACGCCACGCTTGAGTAGAAGTTTTACTCAAATGTGACGTCACGCGAGATTTCAACTCAATATAATACTGTAATTATTCGATTATGGAAAAAGTTTGGTGCGCTTCATCTCTTTAAGTTTTCATAAGTTTAAAAATGTGAAAAATACATTTAGAGTTTGTTTTTGGTAAATTCACCGACGGACTAATTCAAACTCTTGCTACTTTCTTGCTTTATCCACGAAACATCCCTATTCTTCGAAATTATTACGATCTACAAACGGAAACAAGTGGGTCTCAAAATGAACATGGACAAGACAAAAATCATGTTTAATGTCCGTGTCGCACCCACTCCTTTGAAGGTTGGAGTCTCTACACTCGAAGTTGTTGACAATTATGTATACCTGGGACAAACAGTCCAGTTAGGTAGGGCCAACTTCGAGAAAGAGGTCAATCGTCGAATCCAACTCGGCTGGGCAGCGTTCGGGAAGCTACGCAATATACTCACGTCCGAAATACCGCAGTGTCTCAAGACAAAAGTCTTCGAGCAGTGTGTGCTGCCAGTGTTGATTTATGGATCCGAAACGTGGTCGCTTACTATGGGCCTCATAAGAAGGCTCAAGGTCACCCAAAGGGCGATGGAGCGGGCCATGCTTGGAGTTTCCCTGCGTGATCGAATCAGAAATGAGGAGATCCGCAGGAGAACCAAAGTGACCGACATAGCTCGCAGAATTGCTAAAACCAAGTGGCAGTGGGCGGGGCACATAGCTCGTAGAGACGATGGCCGTTGGGGCAGAAAAGTTCTCGAGTGGCGACCACGGGCTGGAAGACGTAGCGTGGGCAGGCCTCCTACTAGGTGGACCGACGATCTCGTAAAGGTCGCGGGAAGAGCCTGGATGCGGGCAGCGCAGGACCGTGCATTGTGGAAAACCTTGGAGGAGGCCTTTGTCCAGCAGTGGACGTCATTTGGCTGAAACGAACGAACGAACGAACAAACGGAAAATTGCTTCTACTACGCCGCAGTAAATTCCTCATGATAAATAAAATGATTTTTTTTTAAAACAAGCTCTTGTATGCTAATAATTTTGGTTTCATGACATGCTCCTAAAATTCATCACCTTATAAGAGGATTTCAATTATTATCTGCGAAACTTTTTAATAATATAGGTACGTTTCATGGTTTGGTAATTTAGGGAAGTTTATTTGCACTTAACACGAAAAATATGGTATCAATGTACTGTGTACCTATGCACCTTCAGTGGCAACAACAAGGTCTAATGAGTACCTATAGTCTACTAAAGGCATGAAATAGATTAATTTCACTAAAAATTAAAACCAACTCCAAAACGACTCACCAAAAGGTAGGCTGCCACGGACTCCGAAAATGGCTAATTTTGTAATCAGTATCCAAATTTTTTAATAAGCTCTAATAGAACAATTCAATACCACTTTATCTTAATTTTTTTTAATGTGACAGGAGGCAAACGAGCAAACGGATCACCTGTTGGTAAATGATTACCGTCGCCCATAGACACCCGCAGACCCAGGGGCGTTACAGGTGTTATTTTTAATTGTGGTATTTTCGCGAAGAAACATATTGAAAATATAAATTGTTTTCTTCACGTAAATCGACTAAGTTACAGATTCTGACTAGCTCCTAATTTGGATACTGATTGCAAAGGCCTAGTAAATAAATAACGTAATAATTTTTCTACTTGTATTTATCTAGTGCAGTTGTTTTGGAGTCAATTATAGTTTTTTTACACTAATAGATTCTATTCAGGTAGAAAATAGCGTCTGAGCGCGTCATAATTCAATTGTATCGTCTGACTGCACGTACTCTATGAACAATTCTGACATAAAATCTATTGTCGAACAAAAGCTGGGTTGCACCATCTTACTTCAACTTTGACAAGCGTCAAAAGTCTGTCTAACTCCATACAAAAAACACCGGTTATCGCCAAAGCTACGGTCAAAGTTAGGTCACGTCAGGTGGTGCAACTTAGCCAAAGAAAAAATTCATTTTGATCGCTAATGTCAGTTTGTAGCGAGTGACACAACCTCCCCGTCTGAAGGCCAGCGGCCGACTGCCGCCCGCACCCCGCGAAGGCCCCCTCAACAGCAAAACGTTCGGAATTTATCAAAAGTAAAATTTATGAATGAAAGTAATGTTCGATTGAAAAATGCAACGTGTCATTTAAAGATTAAAGAATTCCTAATCTATTCGTGCAAAAATCTTTTAAATTAACATAGCCGTTTTGGAGGAGTAGGGAATTTAAGTAAAAAATCGATGTCCCGTATTTATTTTTTTAATCCAAAACAAAGAGACGTAGCGAAAATTCAAACGTCACAAATGTAGTCCTTGAACTGTTGTATAACATATATTTTTTTCAACTATTTCTATCCAGCAGTAAAAGAGGAGTAGGCTTTACAAAATGCCCATTTGGCGCGGATTGAGGACACTAATCGCCTTAACTGAAACATGATGCAACCGTAGTTTTGTGTTACGGGTACTGTTTTATACCGACATGTAATGTACGTTATTTGGGAAGCCTTACTTTCTTCGGGCTATGATTAAGTATGTTAAATAATTCTTAATGTAAATTGGTGTCGTTGTGCGTAAATAAGCGTTTATTCGCCAGTGATATTAACATATTCATTTAAATGTGAATGAGGTGAGGATGGATGCTCGGTGACCTAATACAGACATGTCACTCGAACTCGCACCGCCACGACACCCGGAGTCCTACCCGTAATCCCTAGTGCGCACAATCTATCACTAAATAACATACTATAATCATTGAATGCGTAATCGTTATTTTGATTAAATTCTGCGTTATCAAATAATATTTTATAATTTGTGTTGATTATAACTACGTCATAGGTCAGCCCACAATCTTATCATTTACTGTTTAAATGTTTGTGCTTTACATCCAGTGAAGTCAGTTAACTTCGAGCCAGTTATGAAAGTACATCTTCTAAATATTTTTTTGAGAAGTAGTTTGCTTTGATAAAATTACCGAAAATTTAAAGTGAAAAGTATCTAATACTTTTGTGTATAAAAGTTTTCTGATTTTAAATTATTATTTAAAGAATATCAGTGTGGAACTTAAAATGCCTTTGCGTCGGAGCAAGGTAAGTACTTCGATTAATTAATTTTATTTAATTAAGTTTTATGGTGTTATAAATTATAAAGTATTTTAGAAAGAAAAATCCTTGAGCATCCCAACTAATATTATAAATGCGAAAGTAACTCTGTCTGTCTGTCTGTCTGTCTGTCTGTTACGCTTTCCCGCTTAAACCTCGCAACCGATTTTGATGAAATTTGGCATAGAGATAGTTTGAGTCCCGGGAAAGAACATAGGATAGTTTTTATCCCGGTTTTTAAAACAGGGACGCGCGCGATAAAGTTTTTCTGTGACAGACAAAATTCCACGCGGGCGGAAAGCTAGTTTTCTTTATAAAAATAATATATGACAATGCAAGATTTAAATAAAAGTTAAGCAATAAAAATTATCGGCTAACAAAGTTAAATCTTTACCAAGAGAAGAAATGAAAAAATATAAACAGTTTTATATTCTGTAGGTAGGTATTATGTATGTATGACCTTAGGTCTCTCTTTTCCGCTAATACTTAGTTTAGTTTCCTGTGTCTATTGTTTGAAGAGTAAACCGTTTTTCGCTTGAACAGAAACCACAGTAAATTATTTCCTTTCAACAATAGAACAACACTACAATTCCTACATTCTGCGAACTGTTGGCATTATGGAGATAAATTAATAATGAGTCTCAAAACGTGACATAAAAAAGAGCCGGAATAATTTAACGATATCTTTTACTTTTTTATACAGCACGTGGTATTAACTATTGAGTATACCTACTAAAGAGTAATTTTCAAGTTAAATTAAATGAGTACTGAGTTATTCAGAATTAAACATACTTACACAGGTAGCCGAGCTGTAGAAAACTGGAAACCTACTGTTTATTAATCATAGCGTTCACATTTCAGGTTCTAGTGAAATGGATATTCGAGAACCAGCACAAGTTGCAGACAGTGCGGTGCTGCAGCTCCTCGCTGCGGTACAAGGAGCTTGAGGAGAGCGCGGCGGCGGCGCCCGAGCCCGCGCCCGCGCCCGCCCCCAAGCCACGCCCCGATATCACGCCTGAAATCTCGTTCAAGGTAAGCTTGTAAGCCAATAAACACCTTGGAAAAACAACAACATCACTCTTTCTCAGATAACAAGCTAATTATCTAACACTAGTAGTGCCCGCGACTTCATACGCGTGAAAATTGTTTGAGTAATATTTCCAGTTTTCTCAACATTTTTCTTTCTGCTCCGTCCGTATTGGCTGTAGGGTGATGTTATATAGCCTAAAGCTTGCTCGATAAATGGGCTATCCAACACGATAAGATTTTTTCAAATCGGACCAGTAGTTCCTGAGATTAGCGCATTTAAGCAAACAAACTTCAGCTTTATCATATTAATCGTATAGATTGATAGATAGATATCTAATGCAAATAAAACTTTTGGAGACGCTGCATGGATACAATAATTTTGTGATAACATGAAACACCAGCAGCATAACTTTTAACGTGATTCTCGATAAAAGTGTTTTTGTTTTCAAATTACTGATAGCTGGAAGTGACCTTATCAAAGTAAAAGAATTGTGCTACTCGTTAGCGACGGACGATGAGAAATTTTAAACGTGCGGAGATCATAAATCTGCATGGGGTTAATAAATACATCGTTTACTCTCGTGTCTTTTTGCTATCTATACCTACTTAATAATACCTACCGCCCTCCTATAATATTAATTTTTATACTTATAAGCTATTGCGATGAATGTGCAATGTCACAACAAACATTTTTATGTTTAGTGATATAAGAAATGTTAGATTATAAGCCTAACCTTGTAATTAAATAAAATAAATTAAAATTAATTAAATACATACCTACCTACCTAATTGAAACTTCACCAACACATTTGGTTTTGTATTATGTACGGTACGGTATGTATTTAAATAAAACTTTTAATGGACAAATTGACAAAAATATAAACAGTGAAGCCTGTTATTCTTAAATTAAAACTACAGGGTTATTCAGTTGACTATTTAAGTTTTTTCTTTTTTTATGAAATTAAATTTTGATATTCATATAACACCTGTAGGTCTAGACAAAGTGCAAATTATAATCGAAAAGTGGTCGAAAAGCCCCTTTTTTGTATGGAGTTTTGACGGATTTGATTTTCGATTCGATCAAAAAGTGCGTTTTGTCTAAGGGGGCTGGACGTAGGCACTACAATGATGTTTTTTTAAACTATCTATAGGTATTTGACGTTTGCACAAACTTAAACGGAAATTGTAATACCTTGTTATGTTTTAAAATTTTCACGTCATTCTAAGATGATAATAATCATTCCTTGAACCTAAGACAAGTCCGGAGGTCATCTTCGTCACAATCGAGTTTAGGATAGGCAGTCACAGTTTGCATGCCTAAACTATTTTTGTACTGAATTGCTTGCAACTCACGAAGGCGAGTGAGCTTTACTTGTGTGTGTACACTGTACATAATGCCTAAGTAAGTCAATACTAACTGGTGTAAATAAGTAAATCTTTTCATTTTTACAACTATCTTATTTGTGTTGGAATAATGTCTTATTTACTTGTAATACTGGTGCGATCCGGTCCATTCGACGTGCAACGGCGGCGCATGGATTACACAGCATGCCGATAAACACGTGACTTACGTCACCCCTATTCACTCTACTAATAAGAACCACTTTTGCAGTCCGATGACCTGCAGGTCAGGCTCGCCGCGCCCTATCAGCTACAGCCGAAGCCAGAAGCGGCGGACCTCGGATTCGGGAAGTTCTTCACCGATCACATGCTCAAAGTACCTTATCAGAAACAACTGGGCGGGTGGCAGAAACCAGAAATAATGCCCTTTGAAAATTTAAGCATACACCCGGCAGCTAAAGCTCTTCATTACGCAATACAGGTACTTAATCACTTATTTAAAACTAATACCGTTAACATCTTGCTGTAACCATGCAAGTTGCTAATTTTAAGTTGTCCGATCTTCAGTATATTCTATTTAGTTTAAAAAAGCGTGTTTTTTTTATTCATAACATAAATATGTAGACGATAACGCGACACAAAGAAGAAAACAATTGCGTCAACAGACTTCAGATATTGCTTACGTTCTAAATTATTCCAGAATTATTAATTTATTGCCGTCATGTTGTCAATGAAGTGCGCTTACATTACGCTCGTTATCACCAGCTCAGTATAAACATACGTTTATCTCGTTATTTGGATCTTAAATTATGTTACCGTGTTGTTGAGAAGGAAAAATAATAGAGAAGATGAACGATTGATGCAGAAACAACTACCTTAGGTACCTTACACTTTTAGAAGATTTGACGATTAAGTATATGTAAGAAGAAGCCGTCGGTAGTCTTATGACAATTAATAATAATAATAAGTAAAACCCGCGGATTTATAACTAGCAACCTTTCTTAGTTACAGCAGTATTAAAAATAATAATCACATAAATGGCATACCACTCAAAAACCGAAATGTATTGCAGCTGTTCGAAGGAATGAAAGCATACCGCGGCAGAGACGACAAGATCCGGTTGTTCCGGCCAGATCTTAATATGGAACGAATGAACCTCGCGGCGCAGCGCTCGGGGCTGCCCACGTTTGACGGCGATGAGCTCATCAACTGCATCAAGCGCCTCGTGCAGATCGACCAGGAATGGGTCCCGCACTTGGAAACCTCCAGCCTGTACATACGACCTACATTAATAGGTGTTGAGGTAAGCATCGAAACTCCGTTTATCACCTCTTAACGTGCACGTTTATTCCTAACTAGCTTTCCGCCCGCGGCTTCGCCCGCATGGAATTTTGTTTGTCACAGAAAAACAATATGTTTGCGCGTATTTGCTCACCGTTTAGACCTACCCTGGACTGCCTGGACTACGACAAACATTTTAAAACCAAAATCAGCTCAATCGGCCTAGCCGTTCTCGAGTTTTAATCAAACTAACTAACATCAATTCATTTTTATTTATATAGATAGTTTATTAGTTGTTACAACATTTTAGGTAATATTTTGATGGATGTTTTTGCCTCGCAAAAATAAACACCTATTATAGCACGTCCATGGTGACCTCACTGTCACACGAAAATTAATTAGTAGATAATGATTGATATAATAACCTGCGGTTAAACGCGTGGGTATAACCAACTGATTAGCAAAGTCAACAACCGAGGGAGGTATATAAGTCTAGTTTAATAAATCAAGATACAACTACGACTGAATAATAATGATTCTTTACTTATCTAAACATATTTTCCATGAGGTTACCTTATTTGATCAATCAAAAGTTTTTAAACCCTATCAACAACAGTGATAAGAGGAGGCAAATAATTCGTTATCTTTAAATTCCAAGATACCAGCACACGAGGTTCTTAGATCGCAATTATATGCGTATCTTTTTTGCACTGTTTACTCAATAATTTAATCATTACGTCTTGATGATAGCACAAATTATTTTCTCCCTGTGCTACCAAAGTGACGATGCTGTTGATGAAATTTTACTAAAATACATTCAAATTATTTTTTGAGTTTAGTGTTTTATGTATTTTAGTCAATTTATCAATTTTAGATATTCTTACGACGACGTAATTAACATATCAGATAATACTAAAACATATTTTAAAAGTTCCGTTTCATAGCTAGATATTGCCAGATTTATCTCATGTTTAAAACACGCAACGTTAAAGTTCAAATTCATGAACATAAAAAAACTACTGATTGGTGTTCATGATATGAATCAAATTGTTTTTAATACAAAAGTAAATAAAAGAAAATATTAAGTTTATCTCTGTATGTCATAATGACTAGATGTTTCCCCATTATTCGAAAAGTATTTTAAGTAGAATATTTTTAACACTGTTTTAAGTACATTGTTTTAAATACTAATTTTCAGAAAGTGACAAAGAGATAAATTAGCTAAAACTTATTAGTCATTATCGAAATTAACTAAGGCTTCCTGTTATTTCAGTTGATTTGTAAATTTCGACATGACAAACAATGATAAGCGGAAACTTGGGAATTTTCAAGTACAAGTACAGTTTTACAAGTACTGTACTATTTAATAAACTTAATACCCCATTCGTCAACAATGTTTTTTTAAACAATAGCTAACCATCGACAGTTTCCATGTTTAAAGCGATGTAACGTAAAAAATAAAAGTTTTCTTTTCCTTTTCGCAAATTTTAGAACATACCTACATAATTTTGGCTGCGCGTCAATAGATCATCATTCATGACACTACTTAGGTACCCCGTAAAATACAGACTTTTTGTCGGCCGATAGTTTGGTCGGGCTCAGTATGAACATGTATAAAAGTGCGCACACTACACCGATTTATATCGGTCGATTCCTCACCTAAACTGGAATCTGACCAATTTATCGGCTGACAAAAAGTATAGTTTACGGGGTGCCTAAGTTTTAATGTCATGAATGATGATCTACTGACGCGCAGCTGCCCAATCTATCGGCCGACTAAAAGTCTGTAGACTGCGGGGTGTCACAGAGATAGTTTGCGAAGAAAGGCACACCAATGGACTCCGTAATCAATGTATATGTGTGAAAAATCTTACGCAATAAAATGTATCAATTGCACGGGTGTTCGCAGCCGACATTCGGCATCCAGGCGCCGGAGCAGGCGCTCCTGTTCGTGATCCTGAGCCCCGTGAGCGCGTACTACAAGACGGGCGGCGACGGCGCCGTGTCCATCTACGCCGACCCCAACGTGGTGCGAGCCTTCCCGGGAGGCGTCGGCAACCGCAAGGTCGGCTCCAACTATGGACCAACCATAGGTAAACATCGCCGAATATTTTCGATAAATAAATTTTATTCCTGTAATTAGACACAACACAAATATGTTGAAGCATTCTTTAATTGCTAAAAGTGATGTTTTCTCGTCCATATAAAATTCCCAAAAGGTTTAGTGTCAATAAATTCGTTATCAGATAAAAAGCTAATTTAAAACATATCATTATCACAATTAGCGATGAAATATTATTTTATCTTTGGAATCGTGAACGTGATTTTTTTGGAATTGCTTTGAGATATTAAAATTTATGGTCCGATTGTAAGTACGATTGCAATATTGATGGACTAAAGTGGGGGTGTGAATAAACTTTATTATCAGTTATTCACTCGTCCTTCTTATTATTTGATATTAAACTACATATGTATTTTGAAATATTCTACTACTTATATTGATTATCCTACTTACCTACCTTAATTGCATGTGTGAAAAAGCCAAATTAGCATAAGATCGTATATTTTTCACGATTATTGAATGACGTTCGTAAAAAATGAAACAATTTATACATGCAAACTTAATGATTTACAGAGGCGACGGCCCGTGCGGCAAAGATGGGACACCACCAAGTATTATGGCTCTTCGGACCCAACCACGAGTTGACTGAAGTGGGAGCTATGAATGTATTCATGGTTTACATCAACGATCAAGGAGGTAAGTAGTATCGTAAGATTTCCATTTGCTCGTGCGAAGTAATCGTATAATTATAGTTAACGAAATTAATAATATAATTAATCTATATTAATGTTGTTTATACAATTTTTGCGCCTTCACGGAGTAAACACAATGTGGTGTCGTATCTATTTTGCAGTTGTGCATATGCCAAAAATACAGGTAGTTAGGTAAATGGGTATGTGAGCCGACACTAGCCCATGTTAATATGGGCATATAAATGGTATGGTGAAGTCAGAAAATTGATATCTTCATTTTAATTATTTTAATTTTCATACAAATCAATTTTATAAAATTTATTTTGTATGAAAATTAAGAAAAATAAAATACACCATACCATTTATATGCCCATGTTAACATGGGCTAGTGTCGGCTCATATACCCATTTACCTAATACCCTGTATAATGTACTCTAACGTGCAAACAAGACACCTCCTGTAAAACGAAAAGAAATTATACCGACGATACTTGTTGACTCTTAGATCCATTATGTAACAGTTTTCCACGCGCGTACTCCAGTGAACGATAATACAAACATGTCTAACCGCAGAATAGATCACGTCAGTCAAATCACTTGTTTGTTAACCCACTCTTTCGTTGAGTTTTTAATCGGTGCGAGCTGGAATCATGCAGTTAATAACTCGATAGCGGGGTAATGTAAGTGGCCGATATTGTTATGTTATCGCCGCGTCGCTGGCACTTTGACCCTTTGACCGGTAAATTCTTGCCTCATATCTGAAGCAACAATTAGGATCACTAACATCATCATTATATTCCGCAGATATAGCCACTAATTATAACGATAATGTCAAAACTTCTCTCTTAATCCTATAAAGCTATTCTAAGCAGCAAAAAATAATTTAAACATGAATTAAGAAACCGATACCATCGTCTTACAGACAGACTACAATAGCTGTCTTCTACGTTTATCTTTTTTTTTATATATGTTACGGTCAATGTGATAAAGTGATTTATTATTATTTATTATTTATTATGGGCATTATGGCAAAGTAATGTTATGCAAGAAACAGTCCAAAGTCATTATCCCAAATTATATTAATATTATGATATCAAAACGTTCAAAATGTGTGGCTGTACACCGGCGCTGTACACGAGCCGGTGTTCTCTTTTATGATATTTGTTAGTATTAAGGTTGCATTATTAAAAATCACTGATAAATGTGATTAATTTATCGCTTTTACCTCGACTGTCGGTAATTATTCATAATAACCGGCGATTATTCATAATTTTCAATTTATCACATTAACCGTAACATATAATAGTACTTTCGCCCTCCTGTGTTTTAGATTTAATCTCAGTATGTGCATAATCAGTGAGATGAATGATGTAATTTTCATTACCACATTCTTGGAACTGCGATAAGGTATCGGCTAAGTTTATTTTTCGGGGGGATCATCAACAACACAGATAGCTGTAGATAGATTATTTTCACGTGTTTGTATTGAGTGCTTATTATGTGGTGTTCCATAGACAAACAGTTGAGTACGCCGCCACTGAACGGGCTAATCCTGCCGGGAGTGACGCGGCGATCCATTCTGGAGCTGGCCAGCCAGTGGGAGGACCTCACGGTCAAGGAGGAGGTCATCACCATGAACCGCGTCGTCGAGTTGAACGAACAAGGACGAGTAAGTTTGTTTTTAATTTGTATGGCTGGATGCAGGCCGCTATCATTTGTGGAAATCATTGGGGGAGGCTTATGTTCAGCAGTGGACGTCCTATGGCTGAAATGATGATGATGATGAACGCATTTTTTAATTATTCATTAGAATATTACGACCTAAAAAGTTTGCTCGAATTACCGACTATTAATATGTAATAATGGATTATTAACCATTATGTGTTCGTGAACAAGCATAAGTTTAGGCAAATGAAACAAAACAGTGCAACATCAGTTTTCAAGTTTCTCAAGGTTTCAGTAAAATGCCACATCTTTACTGGAACTCCAGAGAAAGGAATATCATGTATCATTCATCAATCATTATCATTCATTAATTATTAACCGAATGTCTCTAATTACTTGAAATATAATTTACTTGACACTGGCTAAATGTGCTAACCGCACGAAGTCTTAGGCTGAGTTGCACCACCTAACTTTAACGGTAACTATGATGATAACCGGTGCTTTTTGTATGGAGTTTGACAGATTTTTGACGTTTGTCAAAGTTAAAGTAAGATGGTGCAACCCTCCCTTATAATCTAAAAAAAACTTTAACCTCGCGTTGTCCACAGCTTCTGGAGATGTTCGGCGCGGGCACGGCGGTGGTGATCAGCCCCATCAGCCGGGTGGGCTTCCTGGAGCAGAACATCGCCATCCCGACCATGAGCCAGCCGCAGCCTGTCTACCGGCGCGTGCGCGACACGCTGCTCGCCATCCAGTATGGACACATAGACCACCCCTACGCCCGCGTCATATCCTGAGCCCAACCCCAGTGCACCGACACCGAGCGTTGTGCCCAATAAATATTCACGAGACATTCTATGCCGGACGATTGTGTGTGTGTGCTAGGTATTTACGATAAACTGAGGTTACGCGAAACGAGTGTGCGGGCTGAAACTTTTTGAATTCGGCGCGCTCTATCGCGTGTTCGATATCGCCGCAGCCCCTCGCCGGGCCTTGTGAATGTTTAATATTTATTCGTTACCGTCCTTGCGTCGGGTGACCGCCGCTTTGTGAACTTGTGGTGCGGTTCGTGGCGATTTAAATTTTAGAAATTGTCGTCTAGTTTTTTACTATGAAATGTGAGCGACTCGACGTTGTTTATTATACTAAAAAGTAGGAAACGATGGTTGCGAGATCGTTGACAAACGGACTAATTAAGATTTTAGGACAATGTGTGCAAAAGCACACAGCGAAGACGACGCTTAGGACTGTACTATATGTAGGAATTGTTTTATGTAACTTATTCTATAATAATGTGGAGTTTTTGTAAATATTACAATATGTATAGTAGATGACTAGGCTTAGGTAAAGATACATATCAAATAATGATTCTAATTGGAAAACCACTGATACCTTATCTGTTATTCTGCCGAGTCATTAATCAGGTTAATTAAGAAATTGTGACTTTTGCAGCAATGCAAACGTCTCGATCAAGTCTCGATACAGCAGCAATACAATCTTTTAAATAGTCTACATTTGCAGCTTTAATTTTTTTTAAATTATGATATTAGGGTACCTATTTCACAGTGACACCTCCGAACTGCCGATATCTATTTAATAAGCTGTCAAAACGATACTATAGACCAATTTGGGAAATGGTTAATTTATTATAAAGAATGGTATTCAAAAATTGTTTGAAGATTTATAGTCGGCAATTCTACGTGTTTTATTTCATTGACTGAATGTAAGAAATCTCTTAAATGATTACAGTCAGGTTCTAATAAGTGTAGTTCATTCATTTATTCTGAATTTTATATACAAATATTATATTAATAACTACATAATCAGAAAAACCTATTTATTTGTAAACTTAGAGCGAACTACTGTCCATTCAAATGTGCTAATCCTTATTTTATAAGCTTTCAGGCTTTAGTATAGTTTTATGTTGGTTAGATGGGTGTTACCTCTTTATGAACTTGCATTGAACTGGTAGACCAAACGTCGTTTATCGAGTTAAGTTTGACTAGAAACAATGTTCTTGTTAGTATCAAGTGCCGTATTTTTGAAGCATTACAATTTAAATTGGCATTTGAAATATGTAATAGAATTATGTTATTATGACACGTATAATACACGATATTATACACGATATTATGTTAACATTAAAACATACGCCTTCAAATGATTTATACATTTTAGCATATTTTATACAGAATTTAGATTTATCTACCGGTAAAGTTTTGCAAGGTGCAATATTTAGTGTAAATAATTATGATGTGATATTAAACTAATGTAAATATGTACGGATTGAATCAAATGGTTTTGAAAAGTCATTAAGACAAGTTTTCCTTTTTCAGTATATTTTGTGTTCTAGTCTAAGAATCTAAAATAAATAGGTAATAATAATAATGTATTTATGTGAAAGAGAATGGACGAATTTTAATTTCGCTCTTTCTTGCAAAATAAATTTATTTTAACATCTTGTCTTTCTTTTTACATAGATTATATTATTTAAAGATACATACATGTACAAATAAGCTAAACTGATATTAAAACAATAAACGAATTCATTAAGATTACAAAACATTTTATTTTTAAACATAATTCTATAAATTAACAGGTTAACCACGTTACCATTAGCGTTATAAACATACTATTTAAGTTGTGAGCCTAACTATGAAAACAAAGTAGTTTATTATTAAAATTGTATTGATTGCGTTTATTGGTATTGTCTTTCATGATTTATGTACTTTTTAATGTGTTCGAAATACTTTTCATAGCATTTTTTCCACTCAGCTTGAGGCACCTCCAAAGCATGGTTTTCGACCGCACCGACAGTTGCTTCTGGCTACATAAATCGCTGTTCACGCATTTAATTTTAATATACGGGTACCAAAAGAAGTGTTTAGATTCCAAGCAAGAATTTTGTAGCGTTGGACCTGTTTATTTCATATTTTGAGTGTTCAAATAGTCAGTTGTTTGACGAGACGTGTAAAAGCTCACATTTTCGTCACGAATGGCGATTCAACTATGCTGGTCAGTTTCCCTTATTAAACTGAAGACTTTTGGAAAAAAAGTGGCTGTTTACTATTAAGAATTAACCATTCTAAATTTCTCTAGTGACGTTTTAGTCACATAATCGGATATTTCGAAAAAATAGGCGACCGTAAGTTTCAAAGTGTTCCGACCGCATGGGACTTTTGTTGGAATTGGTTCATCTTAAAACACCTCCATAGTCGATAGCTGTTTATTTTCAGGATTATTATGCATAGATCCTTAATTCGTCAACTGTCACAATTTTAAAAACGGCTTTTAAAGCTTTTTAAACGTATTTATCAAACTATTCCAAGGACTAAACGACACAAGTGTCCTATTGAGCGTTTGAAAAATTTTGTGACATCCAGTGAGAAAAAAACGTATTAACCATAATATGGTCATACAATATTTTATTACTGCTAGTGGAATTAATGCCTAGGGTTATCTCAATCCTACGATATATCACATGACGAGGTTTTTCTTCCATTTTTCTGACAACATCAATGTTTTCCGCCACAATTAGTCATTTTGGACGACTTTCGCAAAGTTCACTGGTGAGCCAATGACATAAAATATTATACTTCTTAAACTAGCGTTTTACAATGGTAAAGGATAGATCTTTATCACCAAAAGTGAAATTTAGCTGACCGCTTCAGTTTTGTATTGACTAACCACGTCGAAAGTCATAATAAATCTTCGCGCGAAAATTTCCGCAAGTCAATTCCATGTTTTTGTAGTCAAGATAATTTTCAATTCAATGTTAATAATACAAAACGTGCTCAAACGATAAAAAGTTTTGAATAAGGTTGTAGTCAAAAATGTCAAACTTTTCATTAAAAGTATCAGATGTCGTCTAACAACACGTTATGTTGTCGAGGCTCACAACTTAAATAGTGCCCTAGTAATACATTTACTCTGGCGGTAAAGGTAAGTCGTCATCAAATTCGTCTAAGTTTTTCTTTCGCGGTTCCGAGCGATTTATAGAACGGTTTAGCATGGGCCCGCCGTCGTGAGTTGTTTCACCAGAATATCTGAAAATGGATACGTAAGTCTCGTGAATTTACATGTACGATATTTTGTAACCGTAGCTTGGTTAGCTTGGCGCGGATCTGAAAGGAGTGAATGCTACACGCAGAAACCTGTCCTGAGAAAGCATGTTTTGTGTACGTCCTGCTTGACGCGCCCTGAGATTGTAACAGATTGTTAAAATCATCATCATTAATTAAGTAAAATGGACCGTCATTGGTATGGAAAAGTTAATCGAGTTAAGATGTTTACTGCGTAATATGGGCGCCTACGGCACGCTACGTATGCATGAAACGCATTTGTTATAGTGAATGAAATCGAATAAATATTCAGTTAGTTGACCCCTTGATACCGCTGACGGCCCAGTCTGTCTTTTTATAATCGGGCGCGTATTGTCTGGCACGCAGTTTTTCGTGTTAATGAACTCATTTAAGAATGTCAAACAATTAGTTCTTTAATTTTAGTTGTAATATAAAAACAAGAACGTCAATAAATGTTCCTAATTGTTAATTAAAATTATTTTGTTTGTTTACGTCCTGGTACGATACTTTTTTTTTTTTTTAATTTATTTAACAACTTAAAGACAGTTACATTGAGACAATTACATTTAGATAGCTTTAAAAACCACTAGGGTTTGATGTAAAGCTAACGAGTTTGCAGTGGGTACATTCACAATTTCACATACAATTACATAATACAGCATAAACATATTTTAATATTGTTACATTAGCTTAACTTAAATAGGCACATTTGCCTATTTATACTGAATCTACCCGGAAGATGATATGTGATAATTTTTTACGCGTTTTCTAAGTTGTGTCATGGTCAAAAAGTGGCGTATTTAAAGCAGATTACATTCAAGGTTTCAAACGCATCATCACCTAGTACGTAGGTATAGTTAGGCCAAGATAGCAAAATAATGTAAACAAAGCAAATGACATTCACATGTGTCTTTCACTTTATCTCTAATGCAAAAATGCGTTGTATTTATATTAAGTAGCTAAGAGAACATTGTTAATTTATAAACAATAAATAAACGCCCTGATATAGGTATCGGGAAATTATCAAAATTGCCCATACTTCGGTGTGCGATCTAGCGCTCCATTTCAGTCAACTTTCCGCAGTGTACTTGCGCCAGAAGATTAATGACAGCGCTTTGTGTACATAAATCGTTATTCTTCAGAAATCTTGTCCAAGCTATAGGCATGTTACAAGCATTGTAGTGAATTATAGTGTAACTTACGTGCGCGAGAGGGCGCTACCTCCGCTGGAAAGGTGTGCGGTAGAGGGCGGCTGCGCAGCGCTGCCGCCGCGAGATCCCGCTGAAAATATCATTACATACGATAATAAACATAAGCTGTTCCAAAGATAGCTATCGATTCAACCAAAGGTATTTAAAAAAATTCTCAGTGAAAGTTTTTCTATTGTAAGTAAAATAGAAGGGTCAAAAGTGGCACCAATGACCAAGTGGTTCGTGTACCTAATATTACACTCGGCGCTGGCTAGCCAGTTCCTTTGCTTGAACTTTGCTTGTGTCTAGATACTTCTTGATAATTTGATGTTAAAAAAAATTTTACACTTATGTAATAATAACCGTGTAAAAATACCAGTGTTCATCATACATGAAACTCATATGAATGGAATGTCATGCCGTGCCGAGATTGAGAGTAGTTCCTTTAATTTTATCTTCATTAACTTTTTCTGTGACTGATAGCAGATTCACACTAAAAACTAGGTTATTCAAATAAAACGGAAGTACACAAGTCTGATGAAATAACGAGAACTCTTTCAATAACGATTAACACTATCAATTTTAAGCATATTTAATTAACATTAAATCTCATAATATGTTAATTATGCGTGCCTACTTCCTAATTAAAATAAGCACAAACATACGTTTCACGTTCACCTAACGTGTGTAGTGCGATTAATTATTATTTAGCTTGTATACGCAACGTTATCTCATAGTGATATGAAATACATGTTTCATCACATCTTTCATATACATTATTTCACCCTGAATGATCTACATTATTATTATTATGTGCTTATGTAATTTACCTTGATCACGAGATCATTATTAAGGACCATATTTTCACTGTTCCCACAATGAGACAATGGCGATTATAAATCAATAAATAAATACATATGAATATAAGTACTCTCAATGTCCATAACTCTGGATGACCAAGAATGCTCGTACTCAGCACACTACCATATTCTCGCATAACTGCACCTGACAGCTTTTTACCCGACTGCGTCAGAAGGAACCCTCCTTTTTGTAATTCTGATCGCAAACTACGGTACTTGGCGGCTGTCGCATATGACGCAATATAATATTTGCGTTTCAGTTTTTTAGTAATGCAAAAAATATTATTTCTTATCTGATAGGTATAAGACAACTGTGAAATGGGTGTGACTTTCATTTTTACAATATCTTCGTAAACAAACTTAATCATGATGTACGAGTAGATTTTAATGAATCTGACGCACATACCTCTGACTTGATCTATTGGAGAGTGGCTGGCGCCTGATGATCCGCTGCCAGCTGACGTCATTGAAACTGTTCAAGAATTACAGGATCTATTAATAGCCCACTTTTGTAATCAACTAAAACTAGACCCTATATTTTGGTTAATATTCCGACCATTTTCAAAATATTGTGAAAATATTAAAGAAAATAAATGAGATAGTGGAGTAGTTTATTCATCCATCAATATTTTATAAATTTACTATGTGACAAACTTCGTATCGCCAATAAAAAGTTGTCTTATCAATCTATAAATAACCTAATGTTCATCAGGGATAATATAAGACACTGATGATGAAAGAATTTTTCAAATTGATAAACGCGCGCATCACGCGAGCTTGCATTTGGAGCAGGTGAAATGTATGCGGATAATTTTATCTTTTATTTCCATTCCTCTGCGGACGACATTTTACGTAATGAATTACTTGCTTGAAAACAGTCTTGACTCATATTATTGACCTAGTTTTTACTTTTGGAAAATACGCAATTGTACTTTGGAAATCACATCAACAACATTTAGATAAGATATTAAGATTGTTTATGAGTTTTAGGGAATCAGATAATTAATTTTAAAGTTGATTTAATGTGTTATGCGTTTGTTATAATTACGCATTTGCAATAGCAAGAAATAATTCGCTGGTGAAGTATTAGCCGTATATCATTTCGCCTTCGTTGAATATTATGCCATATGTCATGATTTTAAGTTTACCTCGCTCCTGCTGTTTGAGCCTCGCTTGCGCGCGTTGCAGCTCTTTGGTCCAAGTGTGTGTTTCAGAAAGCCCTTGATCACCGCACAGCTTCACAATTAGCTTAAGACCTGGAAGCGAACATTTTCATTATTACATTTGGATTTTGAGTTTCGTTTATTTGTTAATGAAATTTTCTCGATACTTACACTGTACATTATCTGGAAACTTAGCGTTCATCTTTTTGTACAAAGAAAGCGCTTCCTGATAGCGCCCGTTGGCTCGGAGACAACCGCCCATCAAAAGGCCCCAACGAGGCTAACAAATAAAAATACAGTTTCATTTTTTTACAATATTAGTAAAAGGTTGTTCGTAATTAAATAATTATCTAATGGTAATTCTAGGCTCCAACCAATGCCACAGTGCATGAGGTGATACGATCAGTGGGTAGTAGCAAAAGTCGTTCATCGAGCATTAAGGTAAATAAAATCCTAGAGTACCTAAGTAGGTAGGTTAGAAGGTAGGTAAACGGATTCTCGAGTGGAATCTACATCTTGGTGCGCCCTTTAGCTCGATGACGATCGATGAACTCAAGACGATATCTTAGCGAAAGATATAATTGGCAGTGACTGAAAGAAAAAGCGGGAAATCATGCTCTTTGACGCTTCTTTGGTGACTTAATGCAGCAATGAACTGTAAAATTAAATAGTCTAAATCAGGGATGCACAGACTTACTGGGACCAGGGGCCACGGGCAGATTATGACATGGAAGCGATCCGCAGAAAATAAAAACAAAAATAGCTTCAAGTTGTTATAATTTCGCCATTTTTATTAGGTCGCTGGCACATGTACAGGGCGGCACATGGGACTCGCAGACCGCGGTTTGTGCATCCTTGGTCCTAAAATGAATGTGAAATATTGCAATTATACATACGTTGTTAGGCTGCAAGCGCGCCGCGCGGCGGTAGTAATGCAACGCGGCGTCGGGCGGCGCCTCGCGCGCCAGCCACTCCAGCGCGGTCGTGTCGCAAGGCCACACCGCCTCCACCTTTTGGATGTCGGTTTAGGATTTAGAAAATTCTTAGGCTGGGTTGCACCACCCTACTTTAACTTTGACAAAGGTCAAAAATCTGTCAAACTCCATACAAAAAACACCGGTTATCGTCATAGTTACGGTCATAGTTAGGTGGTGCAACTCAGCTTTACGCCCGTATTCACAAACATTACTATGAGGTCTCACAGTGCGCGTGGACCCACAGGGTGACACACGTACCAATCACAGAGCTCTATTCAACGCTGTGCGTTCGATTTGCTGCTTCACTTAAGCAAGCATCGTTTGTGAATACGGGTGTTAGACTTGCACGAATTTTGGAACCCGTTTAAAGTAGATCAAAAGGAAAATGATGAGACTTTTGTAACGTGACAAAAATATTACACATGAGTTCCAAATTTTGATTCTTGTATGTAAATAGAGGGTGTAGTTTTGTTAAACAACGCCCATCTTAGGTGTGGTAGTCCACATGAAAGTAGTTACACGAAAAATATAAATAAATATTTATTAGTAAAAAACCTTATTCAAACGTATCCTAAAACCGAGAAACCTAAACTTCGAGACGCGCTTGTTACCGTCCGCTCCAATGAGGGCTATCGTTTTAGCGCTCACCAGTTAGCGCCACTGTTGAGTAAGGTCCTGTCACTTGCTAGTAGCGAAGACAGTGGCGCCAGCTTAAAGTGGTAGGAGGACTATCGTAAAGTGGTAGGAGGACTATCGTATTTGCACTCATCAAGATGGCGCCACTGTAGAGTAAGGTCCTGTCAATCGCCAGGGGTGCCAACTGTTAAGTATAAAAACGATAGCCCGCATTGGTACAATACAATAGTTTACAAAAATCCATTGGAGTTTTAATGATTATCATTGACATTCGATTTTCTAATAAGAATTAACTGGTATGTAAGCAAAATGAAGCAATAGTTACGTCTTGGTAGTGGTGCTTGGCAGCTTGTGCGTCACCCAGCTCGGCGTGCAGCGCGGCCTGCGCGCGCGCCACGCCCGCGTCCCAGCCGCCCACCATGCTGTACCTGACAACAGAATACGATACAATACAACATGGTTGTCAATTTGTCATACATCGAACGCTCAATAATATTACAAATGCGAAAGTAACTCTGTCTGTCACGCTTTCACGCTTGAACCGATTTTGATGAAATGGCAATGCCAGATTTTGTATGGAAGGTGGCGTCTTTTTTTTTCGCGCGGCCATCGACGAAACTTTCTTTTTTGATTACAAAATAGTGTAATAAACCAAACTTACTATGGCATGTATACCTCTAAACTCAGTCTGAACTGAGTTATGAACATTAGAAGTTTGATGATTTTCATACTAGATTTGCTTTTTGCGCGCAAGTTTTGTAAGAAATTGCAACAAAATATTGCGCTATTTTTTATTGCGCTGATTCTGCTCCATACTGATGTCTGGAGCCTTTAATGGATGGTATTGTTTGTTTACACATACAATGTCACATTTTGTTGCAATTTCTTACAAAACTTGCGCGCAAAAAGCAAATCTAGTATGAAAATCATCAAACTTCTAATGCTCGTAACTCAGTTCAGACTGAGTTTAGAGGTATACATGTCATAGTAAGTTTGGTTTATTACACTATTTTGTAATCAAAAAACAAGGTTTGGTCGATGGCCGCGCGAAAAAAAAAAGACGCCAATTTCCGGCATCCGTACATACGTCATACATATTATAGAAAGAAAACACCCAGACCAATACAAACATATATGTTTCTGCAATTTTAGTATGATATTTTTATTTATTAATAAACAAAGAGAATGAACAAAATTGATGCGTACCTATACTGATTAATGTTATTAACCACATGCAAAGCTTCGTGAATTGCAAAAACTATAATTAAATTTATTATCCGAGCTCTAAATAATCGCTACTAAGAGTAACTTATCATAAAAAAAAATTCCAATCGCTCAAGCTCCCAAGGGCCTACCGATAGGTCGGGTGACGTAATCTTGAAATTCTTTAAGCCGGCGCAGAACATCCAGAAGGTCGGGCGACGCCACGGCCACTTTGAACCGTGTTTACTTCTGCAGTTATATTTTATATTTATTCGATTCTAGAATATATTCCCAAAAAGTCTGAAAGGTGTTTTAATTTGTATCACTTGGATATGATTTCTATTAGAAAGTGTTGTGAGTGTGACGCTTGAAGGGAAGGAAGTCAACCTAACCTAACCAACTGCGTATTTCTATACTGTGTAGCTGGAAATTGTGGCGGGAGCTCTTTGACGCGCTGTTTTCGGCGAAGAATTGCGCGCGCAGATTTTGACAGCGCGAAATACCTACTTTAGAAGAAATACCAAGCCTTAACATAAGGCGAACATAATGCCATAAGGCATTTTCATCCAGTTTACTTTCAAGGTTTACATTTCTCATATTTCAATCTCGTTACGTCCACTGGCCATGTAAGAACGATTTTTTTTTGTTTTTATGTGATAGGAGGCAAACGAGCAGACGGATCACCTGATGGTAAGCAATTGCCGTCGCCCATGTACACCCGCAACATCAGTGAAGTCACAAGTGCGCTGCCAACCTTTTAAATCCCATTCCCCCCCAATTGGGCCTCCGGTATCCTCACTCACTCGGCGAAACACAGCTTACACAGCGCAAGCGCTGCTTCACGCCGGTTTTTTATGAGGCCGTGGTATCACTCCGGTCGAGCCGGCCCATTCATGCCGAAGCGTGGCTCTCCCACGGAGAATAACGATTACGTTAGATTAGATTTTTATCAAACACAGCTAAGAAATCTCTCACCGAGAGTCAACTTTTGTAGAAATAAAAATGGTTAAATCATTCAGGAGCTATGATGCCCCTCTTTTTGCGTTAGGGGTTAATAAGTAAGATAAGATTCATAGCGCCACAGCACAGATAAGCCTTCATAGTATAGGTACATATGCGATTCATCACGTTGTGCCATTTTATCGATCCGGTCCGCAGTTCAAGATCAGGGTCAGAGACCTCCAATATCGTATCTTAATCTATAAACTAGTATGGGAAAATACATGTGATGCCTATAATTTACTTTTTATTATTAACTTAGGAAGGCAGTGAACTATTCCACGAATAGTGATTTGCCACTATTAATCTATACTTATACTTATACTTATTACTTATTTACTTATTTACTTATTTACTTATTACTTATTACTTATTACTTATTACTTATTACTTTACTTATAATATTATAAAGCTGAAGAGTTTGTTTGTTTGTTTGTTTGTTTGAACGCGCTAATCTCAGGAACTACTGGACCGATTTGAAAAATTCTTTTTGTGTTGGATAGCCCGTTAGTTCCTGAAGGCTTTAGGCTATTTATCATCACGCTAAGACCAATAGGAGCGGAGCACCAATCAAGAATATTTCAAATCAGTGAATTTTTTCCTTTTGAGAGCTGACGCTGCGTAAACGGTTAAAGTTTCGCAAAAATCATGTATGACAGGATTGTTCCCCTTTAAAAGTTCTTTAAAAAAGTCCGCGGTAGCATATGTCTATCTTTTAAGGTTGGCTCATAGTAACCATTTTTATGCAAAAAAAATCTGTTTTAAAATAATGCATTATTTGCGAAGGTGTTTTTATAAACATGATATTAATCCTTATCCAAATAAATAAATTATTCACCACAAGTATTTAATTTTAAACATTCTTGCCCTTTACACCATTCGATTTCAATAAATATCTTAGGAGATATCGCAGTTTTAAAATCACATCGCAGCAAAATAATGATCAAGTACTACGCGCGCTACTGATGGATCAATGCACAGCCTAAACCGCTGATCGTAAAGACCTGAAACTTGGACGGTGTGTTCTTTGTATGACGTAAGCATCTGATAAGAAAGGATTTTCCAAAATTCTACCCCTAAGGAGGTAAAAAGGAGGGGCAAAGTTTGTATGAAATAACGAGATTCCTTCGTCCAATCTACTTAAAATTTTGCATAAGCATTCTATAACAGAATTAATGGAAGACGTGTTTCGTATTTTAGTGAAATGCACCCCCTAACTATGTTAAAAAGGGGTAGAAAGTTATTTTAGTGGTGATTTGCTTCAAAGTTGATATTAATTACTCATTAGTGCATTTTTTTACAATCATGACGTCATGTTAACGACTACCATACTCTAGGGGCCTCCACTTAACCTCGGAGTGGGTGCCCGCTGCGTGCGCTCGCCCAACAATGCATAGTAATGCATGAAAGTCATGCCGCGGGCACCTGCTTGCGCTGTATACATAAACTCATTTTCGCGCGAGAGTTTTGGCGGAGGCCCTTGAGGTAGTGGGAGTAGTCTTGAGGAAAAGCTCCTTCTCCCACGGCCAGTGGCATGCTGGAAGCTTGGTGATTCTAGCACCCGTAGGAAAATATAAAAAAAAGTTTACCAATAATACTGCGGTAGGTGTAGTTTTCGATTTCGTTGTAAAAAAATTATACCACCGAGTAACTTTCACCGGATCAAAGGCCGAGCTGCATATTCATAAAATATAAGAAAAAAATATTTTCATGTTTATTTAACCTGATTTTTATATTTTAAAAGTATTCAAACATTTAGATAATAACGTTAAAACATTTAAAAATAATCGTATGAGAACGTTTTCGACTTCTCCACGGACGAAGTCGCGGGCAAAAGCTATTTGTAAAATAATTAGACTAAATTATTAAAAGTGCCTACCCAAAGTCATTATTCCACGCGGACAAAGTCGCGAGCACAGCTAGTCAACAAATAAAGTTGTGTTTTAATATTATGTTATGTTATATCTGAGTTACGTAATACGTTAGCAAATATTAATCAAAATAGATGAAAAAAAGAAAATTACTTTTGCCTTGAGGTCTCAGATGTCCGGGATAAATACATATGTACTAATATAAGTAGGTACAGTCAGTTATCTGTAGAAACACGGTGAAGATCTATAAAGTGAAACGCTGTGTAAAATAGTCGGTCGCATAGGTATGATATTTAGGGTTTAAAAGTAGGCACTACGACATTCATATTATTGTCTTTCTGACTATTCATGTCATTGTATCACTTTTTATTTATATAAAAGTAATATACCTACAATACATACTTTTTAAGCTACCAGCGCGCCAGCGCATCCGTGACTAGAGCGCTTCGGCCGCTTCGAGAGCTGAGGGCACGCCGCTTTTCTCAATGCGTTTGTTGCAAAATAGCTCCTATGACAACTACATAAAATACTATAACCCTTTAACGCACATCCTAACTTTTTTTTGAATTCGCTATATTTCTAAGTGGATATATATTCTATAGCGTTATTTATAACAACATATATTAATAAAATTATCAGAAACTAGATATTTTACGAGAAAATACAAAAAAACTAGTGGTCAGTATACTGACCATTGACCGTTCTGCATCACTAAAATCACCAATATTCATGTGAAATCACTGGCCAGTAAACTGGACACTTATAAAAAAAACCGGTTATTTTTATGTAAATTACATATTAAACTAAATAAAATAATTGCGTATTTAGTTATCAATCTTTAATTAGGCTAAAAACATAATATTCAACAAAGTATCAAATAAAATGATTGTATTTCTTCTTCTGAGCCAAAAATAACATGAAAAAAAAAACAAAATTATAAGTTTAGTCAAGTAAAGTAAACATTATATAATAATTTAGAGACAATATTATGTTATAAAATAAAAAAACGTGAATGAAAACTCAATAAACCCAGGATTATTATATACATTATCCACAAATATACATAATTTTGTATGAAAAAATACCTAAACAGTTATAATAATGGGGTATAACTACCGAACCCGTATATTTGGGCTTATTATGTTATTGTATTATAAAAATTAATAATATACTCAGTATAAAACGATATAATTTGTGTGTAAAAATCAAAACATATAAATATGAGACCACCTCAAATTCACATGTGTAATTTCTACACAAGGCTTTTTCAACACACGGGTCTGTTTTTAATTGCAAAAATAACATGTTTATTTTACGGTTTTCGACTATATTTTCACGTGATGATAAAGTATATACTATAACATTATTATTTTACTCATCTTCTTTACGAAGATATGTTTTTACATTGAACTACACTCGGAAATATGTATCGTCTGCTTGCAATGGCAGCAAATACTAGTATGGGTGTGCACAGTGGCCAGTTGACAGGCCACCTTAAAAAAGAGCGCGAATTTTTTATTGCGTGCGACGTCCTTGAGCGCCGGCTCGTTTCTAGGCCAGCGTGCTTTATTGGCTATCGTTTATGATCATAAGGTTCGACATTGTTATAAAAATCATTGAATTATCGGCCGTAAAGTGACTGTCCAGTTTATTGGCCACTTTGTATGGGCCGTCCTATAAAGGGATAAAACATGTATGAAACTAACCAGTGGTCAGCAGCCGAAGGATCGTCAGAGTGGTCTCGAGCTACTCGCGCCAATCTAGCGGCGGCCAGTGCACGAAGCGTAGCGCCCGCACCCGCAGCGCTGCGGATCCGAGACCAGCGAGCTTCGGCCGCATCGAGAGCTGAGGTCTCGCCGCTTTTTTCAATGCGTTTGTCGCAAAATAGCTCCTATGACAACTACATAAAATACTATAAAACATGTATGAAACTTACCAGTGGTCAGCAGCAGAAGGGTCGTCGGAGCGGTCCCGCGCCACTCGCGCTAGCCCGGCTGCGGCCAGTGCACGAAGCGTAGCGCCCGCACCCGCAGCGCTGCGGATACGCGACCAGCGCGCTTCGGCCGCTTCGAGAGCTGTCGGCTCGCCGCTTTTCTCTAATGCTAGAGCTGGTGGATGATAAAATATGTGTTAAGTCTCAAATATGTTGGAGATACTGTACAAGTAAACAGGTTTACGAGTACGGGCTAGTCACAAATAGCGCACATTCCAAATATCCAGGTCATGCATAGCGACCAAGTCTTCTTGATCCATGTAGTAAGTAGGCAGCAAGCTGTCACGTTGTGCCTTCTTTCATTGCCCGGGCTGAAATTACATATTTCACTTACCCAGGTCGTGCATAGCGACCAGGTCAGCTGGGTCCAGATGACTAGCGGCGGCCAGTTGCCGCGCGGCTTCGGGCCAGGCGTCCCGCTCGTGCGCCGCTCCCAGCGCCGCAGAAACGCGCGCCGAGCATGAATACTGGCAACATCACACATACCCAGGTCGTGCTTATCAACCACGTGTTCCTGATCCACATCGTAAGTAGGCAGCAAGCTGTCACGCTGCACCCTCTTTCATCTCGCAACGTACATGCCCGGGTTGAAATCACTCAATTCACTTACCCAGGTCGTGCATAGCGACCAGGTCAGCCGGGTCTAGATGACTAGCGGCGGCCAGTTGCCGCGCGGCTTCGGGCCAGGCTAACCGCTCGCGCGCCGCTTCAAGAATCGAATACTGGCTACAGTCACAACTAGTGCACAGCACACATATCCAGGTCGTAAATAACGACCTCATATTACTCATCCACATGGTCAATAGGCAGCAAGCTGTCACGTTGTGCCTTCTTTCATTGCCCGGTCTGAAATTACCTATTTCACTTACCCAGGTCGTGCATAGCGACCAAATCAGCCTGGTCCAGATGACTAGCGGCGGCCAGTTGCCGCGCGGTTCAGGCCAGGTGTCCCGCTCGCACACCGCTTCCAGCGCCGCAGAAACGCGCGCCGCACATGAATACTGGCTACATCAGAACTGGTGCACATCACACATGCCCAGGTCGTGCTTATCAACCACGTGTTCCTGATCCACATAGTAAGTAGGCGCAAGCTGTCACGCTGCACCCTCTTTCATCCCGCAACGTACGTGCCCGGGTTGAAATCACTCAATTCACTTACCCAGGTCGTGCATAGCGACCAGGTCAGCCGGGTCCAGATGACTAGCGGCGGCCAGTTGCCGCGCGGCTTCGGGCCAGGCGTCTCGCTCGCGCGCCGCTCCAAGTGCCGCTGAAACGCGCGCAGCGCATGAATACGGATCGTCTCGTGCTGCCGCCTCGCTTAGTTGACGAGCTTCCGACCAGTTGCCGAGCTGGAAATAATGTTTATAGTGAAGCCACGCAAGTGAATGAAGGCGGGCTATAGTTGGCGCCACTGTCGAGTGTCACGAGTAACTATCGAGTACCAAGACCTGTCCGAGTATCAAGTCATGTCAGAGTCGGATTTTTCAAAATTGGGTTAGATTGCTAACGGAAGCTACATTAAGAGCGTTTACACACCATGCCCCAGCGACAGCAGTGGAGAGTTTCTGCACGGTGGCCTTACAAATCCAAGGAAGAAGGATAATGTGTAAATACTCTAATATACGAACCGCATACGCCACGAACGCAGCGTCCGCATTAGCTTCAGCTCTTAGCACGCGGTCATTAGGATGCGCTCTCGCCACAGCTTTCAGCCGCTGCAGCGCTTTAAGCCCGGCCGCGGCGGGACGGGCCCGCGCGGGCCGCAGCGCCGAATGGAAACTACAGTATTTGCGTAACTATCGAGTGTGTGTCAAAAGTCAAAACCTTTCTGTGAGTCAGCGGTTCTGGTGAGTCATATCCCAGCTAATCGGAGTCGAACTTTTTAATATAGGGGTAGTTAGCTACGTACCGCATACGCGACAAAGGCAGAGTCCGCGTTCGCCTCGGCTCTTAGCACGCGGTCATTAGGATGCGCTCTCGCCACAGCTTTCAGCCGCTGCAGCGCTTTAAGCCCAGCGGCTGCGGGACGGGCTCGCGCAGACCGCAGCGCCGAATGGAAACTACAGTATTTGCGTAACTATCGAGTGTGTGTCAAAACCTTCCTGTGAGTGAGCGGTTCTGGTGAGTCACATTCCAGCTAATCGGAGTCGGACTTTTTAATATAGGGGTAGATAACTAAGTATGTACCGCATACGCGACAAAGGCAGCGTCCGCGTTCGCCTCGGCTCTTAGCACCCGGTCATTAGGGTGCGCTCTCGCCACAGCTTTAAGCCGCTGCATCGCTTTAAACCCAGCTGCCGCGGGACGGGCTCGCGCAGACCGCAGCGCCGAATGGAAACTACAGTATTTACGTAACTATCGAGTGTGTTAGCGACGTCAAGAATAGTCAGAATTAATGTTAGCAACATCATGTCAATTAGTTGAAATTAAGTAATTAGTCTGTTTCGTAGTTAAGAAAATGAACATGAAATTTTCGCCAAAAAGGCAATACCGTAGCGAAAACCATCAGGCTCTCTCGCTTACTCACTCGGTAGGCCTCTTTCTTGCATTGTCTGATCTCTCACTTCCACAAAATAGCTTCTCTTTCACACTTTTCTGGAAAATCTAGAATGTTCAGGAAAAAATAGAGAAGAAACGAGACGGAAATATCGGACCTCTCGCTTCGAACATTCTAGAACGTGAGATAGCAATATGTTTTGTCCTTGTCTTGCACGGATGGTCCGTTGCGCGAGGCAATACCGTAAAGAGAGCCGTTTTAGGTTTTTTGTCAATAACTTCGCCAATTTTGGGAATTTTGTGATGAAACTTTTTGTATAATGTAGATAATTTAATTACGCATCTGTAGAAAATAAGAAACCATTGTAAAACTACCTGCCAGTTGGAGAAAATTAGCAAAATCTGTGGATTTCCCGAAGACAGGGATAGCAATAGCGTGTGAAAGCGGGACGGAGATAGCCGCTCCCCATAAATACGGAATGGAAACTTTTTGTATAATGTAGATAATTTAATTACGCATCTGTAGAAAATAAGAAACCATTGTAAAACTACCTGCCAGTTGGAGAAAATTAGCAAAATCTGTGGATTTCCCGAAGACAGGGATAGCAATAGCGTGTGAAAGCGGGACGGAGATAGCCGCTCCCCATAAATACGGAATGAACCGCTCCAGATGTATGTATTGTATTGTTCAGTTCAGAGAACAAGTGCTCCAAGCAACAAGTGATCTGAAGAAGCAAGAACTGAGAAAAGGAAGCGAATAATAAACGCGAGAAGTCTCAGCAAGTGAAATAGTGGTTTTATTCCTGCAAGTAGCACCTACTACGCCTGACATAGTAAGGGCAAGCTCTCAACGGCAGTCATCATCGTCCGGTCAGCGCTCTCGAACACACACAAACGCATACAGTCCACTGCAGTCCACCACAGAGTGTGTGTCAAAACCTTTCTGTGAGTGAGCGGTTCTGGTGAGTCATATCCCAGCTAATCGGAGTCGAACTTTTTAATATATGGGTAGTGTTGGGAACCGATAGGTGGACCAACCTCTTTTTGATATTATCTATGTTTTTGTACTTTTTTAAATTATTTTTCATACCTTTTGTTTAGTTTTGAAGTTTATGTTTTTGAGAGCCGTTGTGGGCATAATTTTGCAGAAATACATCTTAATTAATTAATTAATTTAATTTTAACCGAAGGTTTTTCTTATTTCCGCACGCCCGAGCGGCTGTCCGCCACAGGTAGGTTGCTCTGTACCGCATACGCGACAAAGGCAGCGTCCGCGTTCACCTCAGCTCTCAGCACCCGGTCATTAGGATGCGCTGTCGGTACAGCTTTAAGCCGCTGCAGCGCTTTAAGCCCGGCCGCGGCGGGGCGGGCTCGCAGCGCCGAATAGAAACTACAGTACATATTTGCGTAACTATCGAGTGTGTGTGTCAAGACCTTATTGTGAGTGAGCTGTTATGGTGAGACATATCCCAGCTAATCGGAGTCGAACTTTTTAATATAGGGGTAGCGTGTAGCGTAACTTTTTAAGATAGCTACGTACCGCATACGCGACAAAGGCAGCGTCCGCGTTCGCCTCGGCCCTTAGCACGCGGTCATTAGGATGCGCTCTCGCTACAGCTTTAAGCCGCTGCAGCGCTTTAAGCCCGGTCGCGGCGGGGCGGGCCCGCGCGGGCCGCAGCGCCGAATGGAAATTACAGTATTTGCGTAACTATCGAGTGTGTGTCAAGACCTTCCTGTGAGTGAGCGGTTCTGGTGAGTCATATCCCAGCTAATCGGAGTCGAACTTTTTAATATACAGTAGAATCCCGATTATCCGGATCAATTAAAACCAGGGGTGTTCCGGATAATCGAAAATCCGGATAATCGATTTCAAAGTAAAATCAAACAATAATTAACTTTTAACAATAGAAAGGGTTTCTAATACATCACTTTAGACCATTGGATGAATCCATTTCTTATAACGATGAACCAAGACACGTCTGTACCGTGTTACGGTGGCGGCGCCTTGCCGTTTTGATGGGTCCAGACCCTAAATTGGTAATTAGAACTGTGAAGAATGAGTCCGGATAATCGGATATCCGGATAATCGAAGTCCGGATAATCGAGATTCTACTGTAGGTGTAGCGTAACTTTTTAAGATAGCTACGTACCGCATACGCCACAAAGGCAGCGTCCGCGTTCGCCTCGGCTCTTAGCACGCGGTCATTAGGATGCGCTCTCGCCACAGCTTTCAGCCGCTGCAGCGCTTTAAGCCCAGCTGCTGCGGGACGGGCCCGCGCGGGCCGCAGCGCCGCCAGCGCGCCGCCCAGCTCGAGGCGCGCGCCCGCGCCGCCGCCGCTGTAGCCGCGTAGCGCCTCTACGCACCATGACATGCCGCTGCAAAGAACAAACAATTGAGTTTAATATTAACGACACGATGCAATCTTATTGTGACAGAAAGACAGTAAAGTAACATTCAATGGGCATGTACATTTAATACAGTCACAGTAGTGACGGCAGAGTAGAACACATTTGTCACCAACACCCGGTATCGTAAGAGGTGACTTAGGTTATATTATACGTAGGTATGAGTACGGACAGCAGCGCTGTCTGATAAAAATAATATTTGAAACTGCGATGTCCAACCTGCCTGCCAAGCTTGGAGATTATGACAAACTAAAGTGGAAGAGGCTCATAGACCTGCAGGGGATTGGAAACGGCTGTTGATGATGATGATAGAATGATGCCAGCGCCAGGCAGCGCTCGGCGTTGGCGACCAGCCTGTCCCCTCGGAGCACGTCTCTTAACACACACTGTATACGTCACGTGACTCACCCCGAGTCGTCGTCGCGGGAGGCGGGGCGCACGAGCGCGGCGGCGGCCAGCGCCAGGCAGCGCTCGGCGTCGGCGGCGGCGCGCCTCCACCAGCGAGACAGCCTGTCACCGCGGAGCACGTCTCTTAACAAACCCTGTATAATACGTCACGTGACTCACCCCGAGTCGTCGTCGCGGGACGCAGGCCGCACGAGCGCGGCGGCGGCCAGGGCTAAGCAGCGCTCGGCGTCGGCGGCGGCGCGGCGCGACCGGCGCGACAGCCTGTCACCGCGAAGCACGTCTCTGAGCACACACTGTATACGTCACGTGACTCACCCCGAGTCGTCATCCCGGGAGGCGGGGCGCACGAGCGCGGCGGCGGCCAGCGCCAGGCAGCGCTCGGCGTCGGCGGCGGCGCGGCGCGACCAGCGCGACAGCCTGACGCCGCGAAGCACATCTCTTGACTTGACACACACTGTATACGTCAAGTGACTCACCCCGAGTCGTCATCCCGGGACGCAGGCCGCACGAGCGCGGCGGCGGCCAGGGCTAAGCAGCGCTCGGCGTCGGCGGCGGCGCGGCGCGACCAGCGCGACAATCTGTCGCCGCGGAGCACGTCTCTGAGCACACACTCGTACGCATCGTTTTCCTGAAGAGCAAAAGACAAAAGAACTTCGAATATTTTTTTATAACGTGTGCTCTAATCTAAACTTATTTACTTTTTTAACAAAAAGGTTGGCATTGGATATCAAATAAAAAGTTTGAACCTCATGCTAAGAGTTTAGCAGAATGAAACCTACATACATATTGCCATGCTTATTGCAATCCTTCCTCCATAACACAGACATTTTCATTTAATTTACTTACGTCGTCTATGGAGATATCCTGGTGACAGGAAGGTGGCTCCACATCAAGCATAGCGTGGAATGCGGCTTTTCCTCCTTCGTCATCGTTTAGTGCCACTGAGCATAGCACGAGATGCAGCCCTGGAAATATTACAATAGCACCATTCATTTATTTTATTCATTGTTAAATTACACTTCATGTTTTACTTTTTATAATCACCTGTTTGAAAGTCGCCTTGTTCATGCATAATGTGTTGAAAATTTGTCACAGCATCACGAAATTTGCCCATCCTTACAAGTAGAAGGCCAATATTGTGCATCACTTTCATTCTATAAAAATAGTTCACATTTATTTAATTAATAATGCTCACTTAAACTTATAATGAACTTAAACTTATAATCAAAGTCTACCTTAGATCCTTTTCAGCAGTTGGTGTTTGATCCAACGCCATTCTGTAAAGTTTTAACGCTTTTGGGTGCTCACCCATTTTGAAGTAAATATTTCCCATATTTACCTGGAAATAATAGCATTTGTTTCATTAGTGTATTATTATGTGTTTTACAATCAATCAAAAGAGAGCGGCAGTTACCTTGAGACGGTTCGCGTGAGGAAACAGTTTGTTTCTGGTGAGCAGTTGGTATGTGTTCAGGGCCTCCGTGTACATTTCGTTTAGAGCATATTGCCCAGCTAGATTACACAGAACCTACGAATCACATATAAATTATACAATACATTTACAGCCAATATTATGACCAAAATCTTTAGTTATTATCGGAACTTACTGCAAATGTAAGATCCAAATTGTGTGTATCCCCAAGATTGGCCTGTTCCTGCATACGAATCAGTTGCCTTTCCAGAGCAGAGGCTTCTTGAGCTTTTGCCAAAGCCTGAAAACATCGAATGGAATGCTCTTAGTAGGTATTATCATCTATCAAACAATAACGAGCGCGCGAGAATTAATTTTCTTAATCTTTTGTGGCATCTGAGAAAATCTTTTTATTTATGGTGTACGTTAGGTTAGTTGTTTCAACCTAATAAACATTCAATGGTATCTTTTTACCTGTCCTAAATCATAGTCTCTCTTGATATTGGAGTCGTCATCCGTATCGGGCTGAGCGCTGAGCATACACGACTCTTCCACTAGCGTCATAATCCGAGCCTCCATTTGTTTTACCTTATCTTCGATGCTGAAAAAGAACGTCAAAACTTCGACAATAATTACATAAACACTGCCCGAATTTCATATTTAGATAGAACCACAAATAACAACCTTGTTATTTTTTACGACCGGTCGCGGTGCTTCCACTTCCTACTAATTTGATCAAAATTTACTTTCTAATTGACTACTGACTGCTTTATTTCAGAAATAGTTCTAGTAATAAAATTTAACTCTAGTTATGCGATGGAAGGGGCATGCATCTTGTTTCCCCCAATTCGTTCTGCGGGACAGCCTAGCCCAAGTAAAAACATCTACTGGAAGGCTTAATGTCTATTTTTCGCTCTCACTCATGAACGTATTTTAACGGAAACTCATAAGAAAGCTCAAGGTCACCCAAAAGGCAATCGATGGGGCGAACTACTTGTAATTCCACCTCTAATAATAAAATCATTAGATCCGTGACCCAAAGTAACCGATATATTATGTAGTCCGTAGAATGATCGCTAAACTTATGTGACAGGGGCATAGCTCATAGAATTGATGGCCGTTGGGACAGAAACAATCGAGTGGCAACTACGAACCGGTAAAAGTGTCAGGAGGGCTACCTCGGTACACCGACGATATGGTGAAGGTCGCGGGCAGCACAGGGCCGGTCATTAGGAAAATCCGCGGAGGAGGCCTTTGGCCAGCAGTAAACGGCATTAGATTGAAACGAAAAGAAATTATTTACGCCCGTATTTACAAACGTTACTATGAGTTCTCACAGTGCGCGTGGACGCACAGGGTGACACACGAACCAATCACAGAGCTCTATTCAACGCTTTACGTTCGATTTGCTGTTTCACTTAAGCAAGCATCGTTTGTGAATACGGGTGTAAGTATACCGACGACCTGACAATTGTCGCGGGCAGCGCAGAACCGATCATTTGGAAAATCCGTTTAGCAGGCCTTTGTCCAGCAGTAAACGGCATACCACTCGGTGGTAGACCGACGATAAGAAGGTCGCGGGCAGCACAGAAAAATCCGCTTAGGAGGCCTTTGTCCAGCAGTAGACCGCATTAGATTGGAAGAAAACAAACTATTTAGTTCACAACCGACCTGTCCTCCTTAGCGTCGTCGCGGGTGGGCGTCTTGGGCGCTTGGCTGGTGTAGCCGGCGGCGCGCACGGCCGTCACGGGCCGCGCCGCCCAGGCCTACCACTCGGTGGTAGACCGACGACAAGAAGGTCGCGGGCAGCAAAGGAAAATCCGTTTAGGAGGCCTTTGTCCAGTAGTAATCATCATCAACAGCCCTTTACAGTCCACTGCTAGACTATGAGCCTCCTCCACTATAGTGGAGGGTTTTGCCATAATCCCCACGCTTGGAGATCGCAGTTTAAAAGATTGATTTTTTTCAGAGAGCACTGCTGCCCGTTCTCTGTTTGATGTGTAGTCCCTAAGTCGCCTTTTACGACACCCGTGGGAAGAGTAGGGGTTGGTGACAAATGTATTCTACTCTGCCGTCACCACACGGCAAGTAGTAAAGTCCAGTAGTAAACGGCATTAGATTGAAAGAAAACAATCTTTAGTTGACAACAGACCTGTCCTCCTTAGCGTCGTCGCGGGTAGGCGTCTTGGGCGCTTGGCTGGTGTAGCCGGCGGCACGCACGGCCGTCACGGGCCGCGCCGCCCAGGCCTATCACTCAGTGCACAAGTCGCGGGTAGCAAAGGAAAATCCGTTTAGGAGGCCTTTGTCCAGCAGTAAACGGCATTAGATTGAAAGAGAACAAACTATTTAGTTGACAACCGACCTGTCCTCCTTAGCGTCGTCGCGGGTAGGCGTCTTGGGCGCTTGGCTGGTGTAGCCGGCGGCACGCACGGCCGTCACGGGCCGCGCCGCCGAGGCCTACCACTCGGTGGTAGACCGACGACAAGAAGGTCGCGGGCAGCAAAGGAAAATCCGTTTAGGAGGCCTTTGTCCAGCAGTAAACGGCATTAGATTGAAAGAGAACAAACTATTTAGTTGACAACCGACCTGTCCTCCTTAGCGTCGTCGCGGGTGGGCGTCTTGGGCGCTTGGCTGGTGTAGCCGGCGGCGCGCACGGCCGTCACGGGCCGCGCCGCCGCCGTGCCCGCGCGAGAGCTGCCCCCGCGCACGCTCACTGTGCCTAGACGGAACATCTGGAACGATACATAATGGGCAATATTATAATCTACGAGTAGGAATAAAACTCGAGTTAATAGGAATTCTTCACATGGAAGACATTAGGCTAGGCTGTCCATCTGGCTGTTCGTTGACTCCACCTTTTATACAGGGTAGAAACGATAAGTGATCTCTCTCGATTATTTCTAAACTATATAAGACTAGCTTTCCGCCCGCGGCTTCGCCCGCGTGGAATTTTGTCTGTCACAGAAAAACTTTATCGCGCGCGTCCCTGTTTCAAAAACCGGGATAAAAACTATCCTATGTTCTTTCCCGGGACTCAAACTATCTCTATGCCAAATTTCATCAAAATCGGTTGCGAGGTTTAAGCGGGAAAGCGTAACAGACAGACAGACAGACAGACAGACAGAGTTACTTTCGCATTTATAATATTAGTTGGGATATCGAAAAACTGGTTACTGATCTTGAAAGTGCTTTACGAGCTCTTTCAAACAGTACCAATAACATGTTACAGAATAAACTGGAACTATCTGAAAAATCAATGTTTCCAGCTTTCATACTAAATGTATGCCAACCACACAATATTAGAAGTGTGTTTTTTTTTAATTAAATAATAAACTTAAAATAAACTCGTAGATTGCATTCTTATTTACAATTATTTATGGAAAACACTAGGTTTTGGCTTTACTTGCTATAAAAGCTAATAATATTATCAAGACATGAGTGCCATACCTGTGATAGTACTAAATGTATGGAAGATGAAAACATTGAATTTTTAGATAGATCCAGTTTATTTTGGAACTTAATATTGATACCATTGGATAGAGCTCGTGAAGCACTTTTAGGATCAGAAAACTAGTTTTTTGATATCGTATGTAGTTTAGAAATAATCAAGTGAGATCACTTATCGTTTCCACCCTGTATAAGCCATAATGATTATCTAGAAATAAAAGAAGGTGTTCTATCCACATCAACCAGATAGGCATGATGGAAGACACTATCCATCTGGCCTAGAGCGGGCAGTCCGATCCAGGGAGGAGACAAAGGGCCCAAACCACATTTTTAAGCAGGGCTCCTCGCCCTTGTACACGTAAAAACGAATGAAAGATATGTAGGGACTTACAATTTCCCCTACAGGATAAGCCCAGCATCTGCCTATTCTCTGATTCCTTTACCTAATTGTTAATAGCCTACTTCTTTGCCATATGAATGAAGCTAGTCTTCAGTTGTTTCTGTTAACAAGGAATTCAATAGCTGCTGAATTTAATATTTTGAGTAAAGCCTGGTCCGTGAGCACGTAGAATTTTGTAAAATGACCCCAAGCTACCCATCCTTATCGCTCGCGCGTAATTATATTGCTGTCGCGACTGTGTATAGAAAACGAAACAATAATGATTACAATAATTATGTTGCATTCATGCATCACAGTACATAAGGCATATAAGTGTAACTCACCCCAGTGCCCATGCGACTGGGCACCTTCCTGCCGATGCCAGCCGTCCGCAGCGTCTCCTGGAAGGCCTGGTCCTCACGCAGGTTGCGGGTGTCCAGTGCAGGCGCCACATCATTGAACCCGCTGTACAGCTCGTCATCTTCGTCCACTATCATCGCAGTCCGCGGCTTCGCATCCGTGCCGAGCCGTGAAGCACTGTAGTACCGAGAACTCAACATTTTTAACGCGATAAAATAACAAGTTATCAAGCAATCGCTGTGCACAAAGTCAAGCACTCATTGTTGTGACGCCGTAACCATGGCAACGACCTGTGACAGAGACAGACCAGCAAACTTTCTTGTCTTTGTTATGTTCCTCGTTTAGAAACGATTCGTTTTGCCGAAAAAAATGTCCATAGATAAAATGATTTGCTTTCGTAAAATTTATAGAAACAAGTTTAGCGGGAAGTATGGCAGGAAGTCACAAAAAAGTGCAATCACGAAAATTAGCGTGATAAAAACAATGATGAAACACTTAAGTTAATAGAGCAATGTAATGAATTATTACAGTAGTAAAATTTTACTGCTTGTGGTAGATTAATAAATATTTTTAGTTACAATTAAATATTATATTAAAAATGGTAAATAAGAAGACAGTTTTAATGTCAATATTTATTTCATAATTCCTATTTTCATTACAAAGTCCCTCGCTTAACGTTCGCTCCATTGAAACGACTAAAATAAAACAACTGACTGGAAAATTGACATCACAATAAAAAATCACCAGGTATTTTTCATTTCAAAGAACAGTGCTATTGGAAGACACTGACATGTAGAAGATCATTTGTTCAGCTACACACAAAAGTATTTATAAAAACCTAACTTAATAGCTACAGCAAAGTACTTAAAGTCTATAAAACAATACACGTTATAAAATGAAAGATTAAACTTCTTCAAACCTACTCCTGACTCGATAGTTCCGTTCACATAAACATTCAAAACATTGGGTATAAAAATAAACGCCTTTCAAAATTTCTAATATAATCGAAAGCCATAACAATGATCTTACTTTTATTTACAATTTCATGAAATTTTTAATAGGCATATTTTAAGTATAGATGTGATTTACAGACTATCTAAATCTGGCAAATATTCGTGACCCTATACGACTAGTAAGAAATGCAAGTACTAATTTTTGTACATTTTTTCACTTATCAATAAGATAACACCAGATAAAAATAATAGAATGACTCTATTAACGGGGATATGACTTAGATGTTAACATTTAATATATTTAGTTGTTTTCATATAATTTTATGTACATAAATTCAATGCAAGTCACAGACACATTTGTTATTCTTCTACTTGAATGTTAAAGAATACACAGGCATTCAGGATTAGGTCCAGCAGAAAACAGGCAATTACTTTGATGAATGTAATTTTATATCAGCACTCCTAATAAAATTATTTGCTGGTTTACTAATAATTTTGAAACATTTAAGATTAATTTCTTTGTACAACTTATCCTAATGTTATGCCATTTAATATTAAAAACGTGCCTGATTGAATATGCGTATTGACATCATGACATTTTAGCCAAATTAGTATTTTTGTATATTTATGAGCAGAGAATGTTTTAACATTATTGGATAAGGCCCGCCATACACGGACAGCTGGAAACGACAGCATCAAGCTGCGAATGCTGCATGTACTAACTTATTCTACTTACTCACATACACGGAACCGCTCGAGCAGTTGTGACTGCTTCGGGCGGTTGGCAGCATGGTGAAATTTCATCGCGCAGTCAAGCTGCCGCCACTGCACTGACTGCTCGAGAAACGTACAAAGTAGCAATGGTGCTACTTTTTCAAAATCCACATTGCTGCCGATTTGAATGAAAATGAAATTGTGACTTGTTGTCCTTGTTGAGCACTTAATACTAGTCACAATTTCATTTTCTATGCTCCAGCAGTTATCAGCGGGAGCTTTAAGCTGTTGACTATGACTGCATACAAGAGCGGACCGTGTATGTTGTTCACTGGCTAACTGCTCGAGCTGGGCGTGTACGGCGGGCCTAAAATTGTTTTTGATTCTGCTTGAATGTTATAACGTTTTAATATAGCCTCATGCTTACACTCTAACATTTTATGTATACTTAAACGTAACACCTTCAGTTGCAATAAAGGTTATTAAATGAGTTAATTTCGATTAACATTTTTGTAAAAATTGCACATGATCATTATTAAAAATAAAATTAAAAAAAAAAACGCAAATTTAGCGTGACTGCGTCGTGATTTATCGCAACACGATTGCGCGGATATAAAAAAGTTTCTAACGATCGCTGCCATAAGTTCATTATGTTGTATAATTATTATTATTATGTCAGTACGGGGTTAGGGTCACTGTAAGTAATCACAATTGGAAAGCACCAATGCGTGGCCATCGATTGGATCGCGCGAGACGGTGAGTGAGTGGAGCGGAGTCCTGTGGAGAGGTGTGCTTACTGGCTAGATCTGCGTGGAGAAGCGCGGCCGCGGCAGCTCGTACGCGTCGCCGTGCACCGACCGCGCCAGCGCCTTGATGCTCGCGGCGATGTCCGTCGGCTCCACCTGAACCATAATCATCAACAGCCGTTTACAGTCCACTGCTGGACTATGAGCCTCCTCCACTATAGTGGAGGGTTTTGCCATAATCTCCACGCTTGGCAGGCGGGTTGGAGATCGCAGTTTAAAAGATTGATGTTTTTCAGAGAGCGCTGCTGCCCATTCTCTGTTTGATGTGTAGTCCCTAAGTCGCCTCTTACGACACCCGCGGGAAGAGTAGGGGTTGGTGACAAATGTATTCTACTCTGCCCTCACCACACGGCTGAACCATAAACGAATACTTAATTAATAATCATCCTTACGCAATCACAAACATGTGTCAAAATGTTTGTCAACAAGTTTGTACAGCATCAGACTACACATTTTTGTTGCAGAGTAGTACTTATTTCAATGACTTATGAACCCACAGTGTTTTGCTTGATGTGCTGTAGTCTCTACAAATGCTTTTTGGATATTATTCGATGCACATACGATTTTCTTTAACGTTTCGTAATTCGTAAATCCGTACCGCGCGGGAATAACTTGACATCTCGACCTGCACTATTTTTTTTTTATTAGCTTAAACGTTTCCTCTACCTTATACCCTTCTGGTATAAAAAACTCAACTCGAAATATCCAAAAATACTTGAAATACAGCTCTTGTTCACAAGTAAATATCTCCAATTTAGGCAATAAATATTTGACATAACGATATATCAAATTAATATTATTCGTACAAACATTTATATTTCGATTTATCAATGTATGTCAGAACATGTATTTGTTAATATCTCGACTTATACATTTATGGATTTTCGTTTTTAATTTGACAAAAACAGTTATCAAGTTATGATCCTCTCTGAGTACTAAACACATCCATGATATGTGCAGTTGTCTAGTTATGCACACTATCAAGAGTTTGGATATTTGGAGTTATTCAGCTATTACATTCGTATAATCATATTTTTATATGTGTTTTAGAAGTTGTTAAAATATAACATTGTCAGGATTTCGAGCGTCTTTAAATATTTTTTACTTTGCAACCCCTGAAAATATTTTTTAATATATTTAAGCGTTAATTATGACTTTTATTACTATTTTCAATAGTTTAAAACTAAATTAACGTTTAAATAGCAAGTTGAGAGTAGAAGGATAAGTTTAGTCAATAGGTAGGTTAAATATATTAAAAACTTACCTTGAAACGCGCACCTGCTCACGTGGGATTTATTTTTGGCAAAAACGGTAGCATGCTATAAGATTTTTTTAATGTGGGTTTACCTGTCATACATTCAGGGAATCATAGCAATAGCTTTCGTTCTAGAGTGATCCGTCATTTGGACGTGAACTGGACGGTGGACGCGAAAGGGCGTGTCGACCTTACGCAAAAATATTTCAGTTAATTTCAATTATTTTAAGCTTAATGGTAAGCCTAAAATAATTAAAATTAATTGTGCTTGTTATGAAGCATGGATTTTGTTCTTTTATTTGTCTTTTTTTTAATTTTAAGTAAACGTACAGTTATCTGATCAAAAGCAATCATAATCTGCGATTATATTTGATTTTTCTAATAAATTTGTTACTATTTCATTGCAAAAGTGATAAAAATATGTTTTATTTTTATGTTTTGTTTTTTTACTTAAACTTCATTCAAAATAATTAACTTAAATCCAATTTTTACACCTTAAATGTTTGTTTTTCTTTGGTGAATAACTTGACAAGTCGTCGGTACACAACTTGACAAGTCTTTTTTTTAATAGATTAAGAAGATAATTTAATTAAATTCTTACGCCAATCGAAAGATACGCATCAAATTAGCTTATTTCAATCATAAAAATATCAATTATCATTAATTCAGATTTACCAGAGAACTCTAAACTTTAAAATCGCTCCCCTGAAAAGTACGCAAAAATGACATGTCAAGTTATTCCCGCGCGGTACGGAAATATACTCAACATCAAATAAACCGCACCTTCCGCGACGCGAACTTTAACGATTTTCTTCTGACACAATCATGGTGCCCCAACAATATTGGTGTCATTTGAAAGCCCAATAAATATCCTTAAAGAAAAACACATTTAATTTCTTAATAAATGATTAACATATACCATAAATGTGACTTGAAAAAATACCTCACTTTGGGCCCACCTATGGGATCAATTAGACCAATTTTTATGGTTATAAAACCAAATAATGATCTCACGTGTCCTCTTTAACAGATGGATAGCGATTAATCCCAACTTAACAGTTTTATAGCTATAAAAGTTGGCTCTAGCGTAACTACCTATTTTTTGAAGAAGTGACTCTGGATCCTTCTAAAGACACATTTTTGGGGTAAAAACCTTTCCTTTAATGAAATGAAGGTTAGAACTAGGCTTTCAAATGGTGCCAATATTGGTGGGAAGTGGGGAAGCATACGTTTGAAAATGCTTGTCGCGGGAGGTGCGATTTATTTGATGTCGAGTGTATTTCTATAAAGTTTTTAGGATAGAGTTTTCAAGATAGGGCACATAATGGGCGACAGTTTTGTTGATGAGTAGATGGAATATCGCAAAAGACCGGCTAGAAATGAAGATTCTGATTAGGCCCCTCGCCCACGGCGACTTTATGTAGCGCTACAGTAGCGATTCTGTCGTGCGTTCGCATTGATACAGTCGCAATACGGTCGTTAGCTGTGTGCTCTCGCCTACATAAACACGATTCAGTCGTGATGCAAACGCGATACTGTCGCGATTCAGTAACCCTCCCTTCGTTCTCTCCCCGATGTCACGACACGGTCGCGCGTTTGCATCAATACTGTCGCGCGTTGGCATCACTGCTGTAGCGCGATGCAAATGCGACTAACGCACGTTAGTAGCGTTGCTGTCGTTCGTTTAAGAAACGCGCGACAGTATTACCACAAAAAGTCGCTGTGGGCGAGGGGCTTTAGAAGGTTCGAGAGCAGCACTTACGTCGTCGTCATGCTCGTCGTGTATTTCCCTTTGGAACGGGAAGTTTGGCATGTTGACGGGCAGAGAGCGCGCGATGTCGGCGCCGCCGCCGCGCGGGCGCGAGATGTGGATGCCCTCGTCGTTACTACCCTCTGTTACACAAAAATAAATATTCTTATTTACCAAAGAATTTGTCCAAAAGGACAATGACCAAAAATGTATGGAGTGTGGTCCAAATGTCCACCACTAACGAGACCTATATGTAGTAAAATAGTCTACTAAATACTGATTCATTATAACCAAACCGCAATCAAAAATATGCTGTCAGTAAAAAGTTATGACTGAATGAAAAGTCTGTTTTTTACCTTTTCATCCGAAAAATGTTCTTGATATCATTCTATCCATTGCACATTTTGGACTAATCTACGCATGTTATGTCATGTCGCATGTGGCGCGGGGTTATAGATGAACTTTATTAAATATTATACTAGCTGTGCCTACGACTTTGTACGCGTGAGAATTGTTAGAATAATGTTTCCCATTTTTACAACATTTGTCTTTACTGCTCCGCTCCTATTGGTTGTTGGGTGATGTTATTTATCTTAAAACCATCCTTGATAAATGGGCTATCCATAAATAAATATTTTTTCAAATCGGACCAGTAGAACCTGAGATTAGCGCGTAAACTAATTCATTTTTTCAAACAGTCATAACTTTTTACTGACGGCTTTTTTTTTTCGTCCCATACTGAAAGTTAATCTCTATTTAATGGACTATAAGCCAATATAGGTCTCATTGGTGGTGGACATTTGGACCACTTTTGGTCATTGTCCTTTAAGAAAATTATTTTTTTAATGAAAGATTAACAGTTTTTTTTTCAACAGTTGTTGTTTTTCAAATTAGAAACATTATTTCCTAGTACGTAAAGCCGTATACAGAAAGAAAATATATGAACGCACGCCGATATGCACTGAACGGTGCCGACAAGTTTCAACACGCGCTGGACGTTGCCATATAAATTGCCATGCTATTCAACTTGCTTCCTTTGTGAACGAACGGACCAGCGCTGTCAAGCGCTGGTAAGCGCTTATAAGTAGTGACCGACCGAATATTCGTTTTCGTTTTCGGCCATTTTCGGCCAAAAAATGGACATTCGGCCATATTTTCGTTTTCGGCCAAAAACCAGCCGAATCTTCGGCCAAAAACCAGCCGAATCTTCGGCCAAACCGAATATCTGAAATATGTGAATAAGATGGTGACGTTTATCGTTCCGATATCTTCGGAAGTGAATCTGGTGCACATATTATGGTTCCAATCAGACTTGAACGGACGCGGTATTGTCACACTCTTTTGAAGTTTTGAAGTGAGGTTACGTTGTAAAGACACCCTTTACTTTCAGCGAGAATTTTCCAAGTTCAAAATTGAATACAAATAAAACCAAAGAGTTTTCATTAAGTTTAATTGTTTCAAAATAGAGTAATGCGGATTTGAAACACGCCATGAGTCACTGGTCGGGGAGCCTTCAGAGCGTTCGCAGTTGAGCAATAAGTATTTGAAATGTATTGTCGAATGATCGATGAATGTCTGATACCACAACTGCAACTGCATCCAGGTCAACTACTATTTCAGCAAGAAGGTGTCTCACCACACACGAAGAGTACCTCGATGGAGACACCGAGGACTATTTTTTTTTTTTCAAATAAATGATCAGCACGTACAGGGACATACCCTAGCCGCCTCGGTCACCAGATCTCACACCATGCGACATTTTCTTGTGGGGATATCTCAAGTCAAAAGTTTACAGCAAACAATCCTTAAATAATTCAGGTTCTGTAAGAAAATATCCGCCGTGAAATTGCAGGAAAATTATTAGCGCGATTTGCTCTTCGCATAGTTGCGAGTGTAAGGGTCCGGCTGTGAGAGTGCCTATAGTAAAACGGGTATCATTTAAAAGACATTGCCTACAAAAAAATAAATCCGCATTGTTAAACTCCAGTTTGCATTAGTAATAAATAACAAAAAATCGTCAATTTACCTGTATGAATCATTTTTGAAGTTGAAAAAATTCCCACTGGACACACTTTATTTCTTCTTCACTTCCCAATATTTCAATATACACCGGAAATAATATTCTACTAAGAATTCATAATTCAATTTTTTGTGTTTTAATGCCGGTTTTCTTTAATCAATCCTTACCAAAACATCTGTCACGTCATTACGTTTTCGGTCAAAATATTAACGGTTTTCAAAGTTTTTACATAATTTCAGATTGAAATTTGAAAGTTGAAGGTCATTTTCGTTTTCGTTTTCGTTTTCGGCCGAAAATGAGACTGCAGCCGAAGCTTCGTTTTCGTTTCCGTTTTCGGCTGAAAATCTATATTCGGTCGGACACTACTTATAAGTTTCCAGCTTTCTTTCTGTATACGGCCTTACAATCTCGGTAATTGCGCCGCTATAAAAAGATTGCGATGTTTGGTGTTATTAAATTAATTAATTCTCAATATTATTTTTAAATTGCGGATTTAATTACCATCCGAATCGTAATCATCCTGATCCGATATCATGTTCTGCCGAGAGTCCGTGCCTTCCAAATCAAACAGCTCTTCAGCATCTAATGAATCTTCTTCTGGAGGGAAATTTCTGTTGTGCTGAAAATAAAGAAAATACTGTTTAAAATAAATATAAGTTTTATAAAAGTTTCTTATCCTACTAAAATAATAAATGGGAAAGTTTGTGAGGATGAATGGATGTTTCTATACTCATTCACACAAAAACTACTGAACTAATTTTGATAAAATTTAGTGCAATAGTTTAAGACACGGGCGAAAACATAGGTAGGATCCCGATTTTTTAAAGAGTGGCTCTCCTTTAATAAGATACTAGCTTTCCGCCCGCGGCTTCGCCCGCGTGGAATTTTGTCTGTCACAGAAAAACTTTATCGCGCGCGTCCCTGTTTCAAAAAACCGGGATAAAAACTATCCTATGTCTTTTCCCGGGACTCAAACTATCTCTATGCCAAATTTCATCAAAATCGGTTCAGTGGTTTAGGCGTGAAAGAGAGACAGACAGACAGACAGAGTTAGTTTCGCATTTATAATATTAGTATAGATAGTATAGAAGTATAGATTCACGATAGTTTTCTATTTTACGAACAAACCGCGGGCGGAGCCGCGAGCAAAACCGATTTTGGAATGATAATTGTAGGCAATTGTCATACCTTTGGGACATGGTGTGAAAGTTTTTTGGCATCTTTGATGGAGGACAGTCTTCGTCTCTGGAGGGGAGGTAGCTGGGGGGAGGGCGGGCCGTTGTCCACGCTCGCGTCGTGTCGCCGGCCGTCGCTATCGACGCGCGCCTTGCTTATGATGCTGCAACATTCAATAAAAAATATTAGAAAACCAAACATAAGTACAAAACAAGTCAACAAGTACCAAACATTTTAATTACCTAGCTAAAATTTTATGATCTCTCTGGGCTCTTTCTTTGTAAGCCTCGAATTCTGCGTATTTCTGATCCCTAAATTGTCTCACAGACTCTTCCACCGCTTCGAGCTGAGACTGCAGAGTTTGGTTGAGCTGTTTGCTCAGACTGCCTACGACCGGCGGAATCGGCGCCCAAGCCTTTTTGTCGCTTAACATAACATTGTTTGTGTCTATGTTCTCTTTCATTTCGATATCATTAGTAATTTCTGGCACCAACAAGTTGAAGACTGGTGAGAAATTATTTGATTTTTTTAAACTGTTCACATGATCCACTGTGGTCTGTAAACACATCAATAAATTGTTATATTATGTATAAGGAAAGCATAACAGAATTTGGAACTAATATAGTTTTCGAAAATAAACTTAATTTATGTCATTAGAAAACTTAAAAAGTAAATTAAAATAAGGATAAGATAAGACAAGGTTAATAGTTTTAATAACACTAACTTGAATTGATTTTGGGACAAGTACTATGTTTGTATCATTTGATTTTCCATTGAGCACAGCATGTGTTGTTATGCCGCAAGCAAGGCACGAATGCAATGTCCAGCGGCCTACTGTGCGCTGCCCGACCAATGCTTGCTGCACTACTGTTGTTTTCAATAGTTTTGCAGGACATGAGAGAAGGCTCTGCAAACAAGCAAAATCAAAATAAACATCAAATAGAAATTTATAAAATTTCTTATTAGTTTCTAATTAGTCTGTCTTTGACATTTATTAGTTTATGTAATATTTTTTTATGGTTACAATTTTTAATAATTTGTAAAAACCATAATTATTATTATGCTTAGATTAATAATCTAAGTTATTATGTAAGTAGCCTGACAAGTAGGTATGTAAACAAACACAGTGGGTGGACGTGACTTGTATAGTGTTGGTGCAGGCTGTATGGTGTTGGTAAACTTATATGAAAATGTATCTGAAAAGACTGCTAGCAAACAGTTGGTCTTCAATTCTAAATTTGCATAGTAGGTAGGTATAGTAGTAAGGAAGATACGAAAATAACCTATTTACAAACATAAATGATTAGGTAGACGGTGCGCCGAGCGTACAAGTATTGTGCTATTTATACCTACTATATCGTAGACGACATACGTAGTCTAAAGGAGATCTGTTTAATTCTACTTCTTATAATATTAGGAAGCAAACGGGAACCCTACTTTATGTCAAGGTCAAGACATGTTTACGGATTGTACTGTACCTCACTGAAAAAAATATCCCTTTGTTCCGCAGTAGCTATCTCCAGTTTTCCGATATCAATGTTATCTTCAACTTTATCACTTTCCAATGTTACGTTTAAACATTTACAAACACAGAGAGCCATTTTGATTAGAAGTAAGCCGATTTTTGTATTCAAAACAATGTAAAAACACGCACCTAATGTGGGAAATTGTACAGCAATAGTTTTATATTTATCAGGTAGGTATATGCGCGTATATTTTTATCTTTCGACAAACCGCACAATCGTCTCAACTAGTGGAAAACATACTTTTCTTTGTCTTATTTGATAAGAGTGATAGAGATAGCTATACAAATAAAATCTGCGAAGGTAGCACACGGAAAAATGCTTCCACAAAGAACAGGACTATGGAACTTTTATGAACTAAATTTTTGTATGGAATTAGACAGCTCATGACAGCTAATGCTTAGACAGTAGCGCCACAGGTAAGAGACTTTTCAATTGAGTGGCATTATCGTAGTTTTCCGACAAGTAAGCTCTTAGCTCAAGGTCGAAGCTAATAATATTGACTGAATCATCAACGAAAATATTTGATATTTTTTTTTACATCTTTCTTTAATTCTGATCTTTATTTTATGAAATCAATATACATCTGCACTATCTTTGCAAAGGTTTATAAAAAAAAACAAACTGTCAAAATAGTGCACGACCGTACGTCATCTGTCAAAAACGTCATAAATATAGGTACGTGCGGTCTGGTGATTCAAAATTATTGTATTTCTTGTAATTAATACATACGTGGCAGGATAATTTTATAGTAAAATGTTACAGTGAATAAAATCTTTAAAAGCCTTGATAGTTAAGTTGTAAGTTTATGTAATTAATTTCGCATTTAGCTAATATAGGTTATCGGTTTTCTATCTCCACCTTACAAAATGTCTAAAAGAACTTTACCAACTTGGTCTCCTCCAGCGAGATCAGAAAAGAGACCAGTTCTAAAGCTGTTCAACAGCTTAACACGCCAGAAAGAAGAATTTGTTTGTTCAAATGGGAATAAAGTTAGTTGGTATAGTTGTGGCCCAACTGTGTATGATGCCTCCCACATGGGACATGCCAGGTAACTATTTATTTATTTGTTTATCTTTCTTTCATTGTGTGATAGTTTTTTATGGATTAGATTTAATAATTTGACTTAATCTCAATTTTTATAATTCCAGATCTTACATATCATTTGATATACTAAGGAGAATCATGGCAAATTACTTTGGCTATGATATATTGTATGTTATGAATATAACAGATATTGATGATAAGATTATCAAGAGGGCTCGACAGAACCATTTGTATGAAAAATATATGAAAGAGCCGAGAAATCTTAATGACACTATAGATGATGCAACTTCTGTAGTAAATTATTATGAAAATGTAGTTAGAAATACTGGAGATCCAGATAAGAAGAATGCCATGCAGAAAATGTTAGATAAGTATGTCCTTTCCTTATTTACTTATTTACGGGGTTTTTTATGTTCCTATAAATAACTTTATCATTTACTAATGTGAGTCATCTAAGAATCAACAATGATTTGTATGACACATTGTGTGATTACATAGTAATGCAATATTTTCTTTGTTTTTCCAGTATCGCATCTGCAGTAAAGGTACTCCAGCAAGCAGTTCAAGAAAATGACAGTGAGAAAATAAAAACATCAAAATGTGAAATGCTAAAGTCAGCTAAAGACCCTATCTCGGACTGGCTGGACCATAAGTATGGTGCCACGGTCACTGATAATGCAATATTTGCATCTTTACCAAAGTATTGGGAAAATGAATTCCATAAAGACATGAAGGCATTGAATGTGAGTTTCTGTTGTATTATAAGCTTTATTTGACTGGTAAAGTAATAATACCTCATATCTAACAAGTATACATATACCTACAATATGATACATTAATTTTTATATAGATCTCAATTACTATTTTTATGTTATAGGTTCTACCACCAGATGTTCTAACAAGAGTGAGTGAATATGTGCCTCAAATTGTAAAGTTTATAGAGAAAATCATAGATAATGGACTTGCATATGAATCAAATGGCTCAGTTTACTTCAATGTGAGTGAATTTGACAAAAGAGACAAGCATCACTATGCAAGACTGGTTCCTGAAGCTTATGGAGACACAAAATCACTACAAGAAGGAGAAGGTAATCATTTTAAATTCAATAACATTTTCATAAGAACCAATCAATGTATTCACAATTTGTCATGCTATTGTTTAACTATGACCATGATAGATTGGCGGAACAATCAACACTGTGAACTTAGGCTGAGTTGCACCACCTAACTTTAATAACCAGTGCTTTTTGTATGGAGTTTGACAGAACTTTGACGTTTGTTAAAGTTAAAGTAAGATGGTGCAACCCAGCCTTAATTTACTAATGTGGTCATTACCATCAGGGATTTGTTAAAATAACATTGTGTTTACCTTTCACAGGTGACTTATCTGATGAAACCGCAGAAAAGCGTTCTGCAAATGACTTTGCATTGTGGAAGTGCAGTAAAGCAGGTGAACCCTCCTGGGAATCGCCCTGGGGCGCAGGCCGCCCTGGCTGGCACATTGAGTGCTCAGCTATGGCATCTGATATCTGCGGAAATAACTTAGACATACATACTGGTGGAGTTGATCTGAAGTTCCCTCACCATGACAATGAATTGGCACAAAGTGAAGTGAGTATTTATTTTGAAGCTAATTTTCAACTGTTTATTTAATTATGTTGTATCATACTTGTTACTTAATGTTTCCTCTAGGCTCATTTCGATTGCCCAGGCTGGGTGAACTATTTCTTGCACACTGGCCACCTTACGATCGCCGGATGCAAGATGTCGAAGTCGCTAAAAAACTTCGTGACGATTTCTGATGCACTGAAAAGACATACCGCGCGACAGCTGCGCATCGCATTTTTATTGCACGGCTGGAAAGAGACCCTTGACTACTCGGATAACACCATGGAGATGGCTATTCAGACTGAAAAGTTGTTCAATGTAAGTAGAATTTATTTGATGTTAACAGAAAATACATCTACTTAAAACTATCACCGTATTAGCGCTCAAAAGCTTGCGCCACAACATTCGCTAGTAGCTAAACCAATCGCGCCACTGTCGAGTAAAATCCTGTCATTCGCCAGGGGCACTAATAAGTAGTGAGCAGAATTTTACTGGCTGAAAAGAAAATAACTGACTATCTTTTGCAGGAGTTCTTCCTGACGGTAAAAGACGCGTTGCGGAGCGGATACGATGAAGGCTGCGGCGGCGCGTGGGGCCCCGAAGAACAGCAACTCTCCAGCAAACTTAGCTCCGTCAAGGAACAAGTGCATGCTGCACTTTGTGGTTAGTCCAATGTACCTACTACTTTTCAAATCAACTGAACATTTTATACTGCACCCTCTGTGTGCCAGATGTCATATTTACATTGAGATGAATACCAGTACCAACACAAAGTGATATGTGTATGCACACCGTATGTTCAAACGGCGACCACTAGTATTGTCACGCGGACTGTCAGTGCGGATCGCTCCGCACAGCCGATCTGTATGAAATGCTACGGAGCACAGTGGATCGAAATGGCAATAAAATGGACATAGGGATTTTTTCCGGAAAATCGAATTTTAAAAAATGCCAATCGATAGTCCTTTGCTCACTCATCACGACATGTTTTATCACATTTTTCTCTAAACCTGATATTTTAGCTTTAAAAAAATAATTTGTTTTTTTTTTGTATGAAACGAGACATAAAGTACTAATTTTCTCCGAAGACCTGCTAGATCGTGACTTGAAACAACCTAGGTCGGTATAACTGCATTATTTACTAATATTCTAAGCTATTTCCAGCTGCTCCAAACCGCAACTTAGCCTGATAAACGATTCCGAAAAAAAAAATTAAAATTGACTCTTCTTGTATTTTAGTTCTTTTTTTTAGAAAAAGCGTCGATTATGGTACTAGAAAGTGATTTTATCGTTAGGTGACATTGTTATCTATTCTCAGAATCTGTTAAACCCTTTCTTTCCTATCAGCACATGACTTTAAAACAACAATGAAGTTACACATACCTCGTAATTAACGTGTTTTGCGAATAAGCAGATAATGGTCAGGGGTGTGGGTAAAAAACAGATAAGGATTGTTTATTTGTTTTAAATTTAGTTTGGGCTGTGTAACGTCACCAATAACATTCAACTTTAAATGCGGTTTTTAACATGTAATTACAATGGAAGCTATTGTGAATAATATAGATTTGTTTGTAGTCTTAAGAAATACGTTAAAACCTTTGATAGACAGTGAGAAACTTTATAATCACCTTTTGCAGAAAATGGTACATTTGACAGAAGAAAACAGTGTTAAGTTAAAAAAGTTTTGCCGGAATTTTTGTACTAATCTTAATGGGCGATGGACAAACTGTCATCTATCTCTTCGATTTTCCGGAAAAAATCCCTATGTCCACTTTATTGCCATTTAGATCCACTGTGCGGAGTGGAGTGGTTCCTCCGGACCGCATTACTCTAAAACGCTCCCTAGAAGTTCATACAGATTGGCCGTGCGGAGCGGGTCCGCACCGGACGGTCCGCGTGACACTAAAACCAGCCTAAGTCGCGACACTAGCCTGCGACTGCGTATCTACAGTCAATGACCTCTACATAGACTTCTGACTTTGTTCCATAGACAACATCGACACGCGTGGCGCCCTAGACGCCCTGCGGGAGCTAGTAGGAGCTAGCCACGTGTACCTACGTCAGACGTCACCTCGTCCCGCCCCGCTGTTGGCCGCGGCCGCGCGCTACGTCACCGATATACTGCACATATTCGGCGCCGTCGAAGGCCCGCGCGGGGGCATCGGCTTCCCTGTGGGCGATGGAGACGCTGCTAACGTAAGTTATAGTCCTAGTTGTTATCAACTACTAACCTAGACAGATACCGACGCGCGCCTAACCGCTGCTATTAGTCGCTACTCGCTACGTCATCGATATACTGCACATATTCGGCGCCGTCGAAGGCCCGCGCGGGGGCATCGGCTTCCCTGTGGGCGATGGAGACGCTGCTAACGTAAGTTATAGTCCTAGTTGTTATCAACTACTAACCTAGACAGATACCGACGCGCGCCTAACCGCTGCTATTAGTCGCCACTCGCTACGTCATCGGATATACTGCACATATTCGGCGCCGTCGAAGGCCCGCGCGGGGGCATCGGCTTCCCTGTGGGCGATGGAGATGCTGCTAACGTAAGTTATAGTCCTAGCTGATATCAACTACTAACTTAGACAGATACCGCTAAGGCCCTGGTACCCCCCATGATTTTGGGGTTACCTGCCGATTCGAAGATTGAAAGACAATCGCATATTCAAACTTATTACATTTGCTATCAACACCAAATTAAAGTAATATTTAATTAATACCAAGTCTAATTAGAATTCATTTTACCAGTACATATTAAATTCATTTTCAAAACATACAATACTCATCCTTTATTTCAACAATCAACGTAAAACATGACACTTACTTGAATATCAGCACACACACATCACCAACTGACACTTATTTCGGAGGAGATGTTACTCGTAGCAGCACTGACGATCAACTAACTCAATCTCCGAGCGCTAAGTTCCCATTTCGACTCCGCCCCACCACCGATACCGGACCGGATCAGTGGCGTGACGACATCGAACCACAAAACAGTGTTGCCAGTACATTATAACAATTTATTAATTATTGTAATACTACTTATTTTAATTTTTATAATAATTAATTTGATTGTTACACTTACAATACATCATAATATTTCTTTTTTTAAACTAATACTATTTATGACCGCAGCAACAACATGCAGGCTAATCAAGCACTTAAGGCTCTTTCATATTAGGCGTTTTGAAACGAACGTTAGTCGTCCGTTTTCAGGACCGTACACGTTAAATTCTATGTAAGCTGCATTGGAATAAAAATGACAATTACCAACAGTAAGGCTGAGTGGCACCACCTAACTTTGACCGTAATTATAACGATACCGGTGCTTTTTGTATGGAGTTTGACAGATTTTTGACGTTTGTCAAAGTTAAAGTGAGATGGTGCAACCCAGCCTTAGTGTGCGGTCTTGCAAACGCACGACAAAAGTCCGGCTCAAAACGTCTAATTTGAAAGAGCACAAAGCTCTTACCTAACCCTAGCCACCTTGTCTACAGTTGGAGAGCCAAGTGATGCCGTACTTAGAAGCGCTGAGCACATTCCGTGCGTCAGTGCGCGACGCGGCCCGCAGCGCGAAGGCACCCGAAGTGTTGGCGCTGTGCGACGCGCTACGGGACTCCGTATTGCCTGAACTGGGGGTGCGGCTCGAAGACAAACCCGGTACGTGCCTAGCTGAATATTATATTTAGTTGTAGTTGTCATTTGATACGTTTAGCTGTGAAGTATCCCAACTCTGTGAAGGCGTCCGAAGTGTTGGCGCTTTGCGACGCGCTACGGGACTCCGTGCTGCCTGAACTGGGCGTGCGGCTCGAGGATAAACCCGGTACATACTTACTTTGCTAAATGTTATACACTGTATAGATCGTTTCATCCACGAAGCCGCGCCCCGTCATTCTTCTACTAATGTTTGAGAGTTATAGCAGGCATGTTCATCTCTGCGAGTTTGCATCGAAAACAAAACACGCGCGACTACATCTCCTGAGATCACTAATTGACAGGACAACCACGAGCGAGCATTTACGCACGCACGTGTATTCTTCACCCTTTTGCATTGTAAAGACGATAAACTATGTATGTAAAAACGGTGGTGTAATTAATCTGTGCAGTATTTTAACTGCTTGAATAATAATAGAAATACAAAATATAATTCATGCTTATTCATGTATTTCCTCCGCCATTTTCCACAGTTTGGCACCTCACGTCACACATCATTTTACCGAAGTCAGCCCTATGGCTTCGGCGTAATACCGATCACTGAGGTTTTTCAACAAAATGGTGTTCGACTCTTGAGACAAGCTAAATTTATTACACCATATTGTTAACGACATTGAGCTGAGCATACATTTTTTTAAATACCTTCGCGAAGAAAACCTTCTGTACATAGTACTTATTATTATTCTGTGGTTATAGGTACACGACAAATTCATGAGTGCACAGGCACACTACAATAATGACGCTCGGATTGCTCGGATAAAACTCCCTGCACCCCGCGCTTTCCTCGACCAAAAATTGGTGGGGCGCGTCTTCGTGGATGAAACAATCTATAGTTGTCAATTGATACTGTCATTTAGCCGCGCCATAACTCCATGAAGACACCCAGAAGCGCTGGATCAATGCGCCAAGCTACTGGAACTTGATTGATGCAAAGGGATTTTACTTCGACTTTTCGTTTATAAAAATATTGATTGATAAAGATAAATTCCATAATATCTCTAACCAATATTTTGTTCATTAGATCGCACTGTTGTCAAGTTAGTCAGCAAAGAAGAATTACTTAAAGAAAGAGAAGAAAAGAAGCGCCAAGAAGCAGAGAAGCTAAAGAAGAAACAGGAGCTTCTGGAAGCGCAGCGAGCTAAAGAAGAACAGAAGAAAATCCCGCCTTCCGAGATGTTCAAGCGCGAGACCGACAAATATTCCAAGTTCGATGATAAGGTAAGAATTTCTGGCCTTGCTTTTGCGATAGACGCAATAAATAATTGGTTGATAAATTAAAATATGTAAATATAAAAAAATATAGCAGACAAAAATCAGAACGTTATGTAATGAAAACGAGTGTATCAAATATCAAGTGCTATTCTTATCTTTGCAAATGGTCTACAGATGTTTCAACGAATTTATTATAATTATTGTTTTCAATGAAATATTATTGATGATTTCATCATGCTGTTCTAAAAGATTCAAATATTGTACAGACTGCTGAAATTTACGTATGTGCAACTGTATAAAAAATTGATACAAAATAGATCCAGATATATTACTTACAAGAACAAACACACTATGTAAGTAAATTTTATATAGAACTAGCGGCCGCCCGCGACTTCGTACGCGAGGATCTCGTTTCACCCCCCCCTTCATCTATCTTACGCGGTTCAGATTTTTTCATACAATTTTTTTCCCGCTAACTCCCGTTCCCGTGGGAATTTTGCAATATCCTGTTGTAACTAAGCTTTAAGTTTACTAAGGTACCTGCATGCCAAATTTCAAGCGTCTATCTTACGCGGTTTAGATTTTTTCATACAAATGTTTTATCCCGCTAACTCCTGTTCCCGTGGGAATTTTGCAATATCCTGTTGTAACTAAGCTTTAAGTTTACTAAGGTACCTGCATGCCAAATTTCAAGGGTCTATCTTACGTGGTTTACATTTTTTCATACAAATGTTTTTTCCCGCTAACTCCCGTTCCCGTGGGAATTTTGCAATATCCTGTTGTAACTAAGCTTTAAGTTTACTAAGGTACCTGCATGCCAAATTTCAAGCGTCTAACTTAAGCGGTTTAGATTTTTCATACAAAAGGATTTTCCCGCTAATTCCCGTTCCCGTGGGAATTCCTAAGTATCCTATAACCTGCCCAGGAGTATGAAAAATAATTGTACCAAGTTTCGTTAAAATCCGTCGAGTAGTTTTTGTTTCTATAAGGAACATACAGACAGACAGACAGACAAAAATTTTACTAATTGCATTTTTGGCATCAGTATCGATCACTAATCACCCCCTGATAGTTATTTTGAAAATATATTTCATGTACAGAATTGACCTCTCTACAGATTTATTATAAGTATAGATTAAGATGCCTAACAAATTGTAGCTAAAACTTTGTACCTTAAAGTTGATAAACCATGTTTCATCAACCAAGCTTTGAAAAATCGACAATAAATATAAGTCGGGAAATGAGGTCCTTAAAAATTGTCTTCTTTCGCAGGGACTGCCCACACATGACCACGAGGGCAAAGAACTCAGCAAAGGTTTGGTCAAAAAGCTGCAGAAGCTTCAACAGGCTCAAGAGAAGAAATACAACGACTTCTTAGCCTCCGTGAACTCTTGCTGACCTGGGCAATGAAGTAGCGTTCCATGTTCTATAGCGTTGTAGTGACGCTCATAACTCTCTAGGCCGCGTGCCATTTTGAACTTATTTCCATTATAGTTTAAGTGTAAAACGTCACACGGCTAATCTTATTTTAACGCGGTATTGCTACGTCAGTGACGGAATAGAATTAAAAAATTCATTGTAATTGCAAAATGTCTAAGGCTTCATTGATATTCTCTTTAACTATTTTATTTAACAGCAACTTTAGCATTAGGTGTGTCCTAATCCTAATTCTGGCATTTGCATAATATTATTTTGTATTATTATAACTAAATTATTAAAAATGACGTTCCTAATTTACCTTCAGGGATCTGAGAACCACCAAGATAAAGTATTAGTGTATGGAAAAAATGCGTTTGTATTAGCTTACCTATAAAATTGCCGGATTTCGGATTGTTAACTTCAGTGCCTCTACCATGAGTTGCCATCGAAAACTTGTATTCGTATACTACAGTCGATAGAGTTTAAACGTGGATCGATGAAGTTTGCATTAAAATCATACCATGAGTTCAATTACCGTATACTTTACTCGCCAGCGATAATTCGATGGTTTTGTGATGTCATGTTGGTGAACATGTAAACGTATCCAACTTCACACTCTATGAATGGATGAATGAAAGAACGAATGCCGCTCCTTTCTAACTATATAGAAAAGACAGAGTAGGAAATAACGAAAATGTCAAAAATAACACTGCAAAATTTAAGTGTCCTAGAACAGTGCTTAAAGCTGAAATAACATGATGATTTTAAATTTGTATTGTTTATTTCTTGTCATTGCGACTTTGACGCAGCTGTTGTCATGACAACACAAATAAACATGTTTTGTTGAAGAATTATTGATGAATAATTTTCCACAAAAAATTGGATTTTAACCAGGATAGGAAAGTGAGAACCTGAGGCTATCCGTTTAAACCGATTGTAGAATTTATGGAAAGGTAAGTTAAGTAAAAATAAACATACTATGTAGTGGAGGAATTTCAAAATTAAACGAATAATTTTGAGCTGGCTTTTTTGAAGAAATACAACCTTTCCAGCATAACTTCCACGTGCCTAGCTAAAATTCAGTAATATGAGTGCTAGATTTATATTTTCTAGATACAATAAAGTTGTTTTTCTATAGATATGGCGATCTGAGTATGCCCACTGAAGGGCCCCAAGAAAGAGCCAACAATAGTCAACGGTGGGTGGAACTAACGGACACGCGAACGTGAAATGCTGATGCCACCGGCGACACCAAAACTACTGAGAAATTGAGAAGTGTGTATAAATACCTACTATACTATATTCATTTTGATTACTTTTATCTTATTTCGTCATTATTATTTGTAATGTTTATTTGTTAAGGTGTGGAGTGACTTTAAACAGCAAGAAGAAGGCAACTCGCATACACAGAGCTGCCAAGGGAACACTGGACTGGTGGCGGTCCAGGTTCTTCCCTGAAGCCAAAGGATTTAGAGCAGAGTGCTTGTAAATAACTACTTGTAAATTAAATCCATAATAAAGACCTAGGGTAACTGGATGGATATACCTACCTTATTATTGTAAAACTTAAGATATTATAATTAATTAAATACATTATATTGTTTTAATCTTTCATGGTCACTAAACATACATGGTAGCAATCTCGTCAGTAATAATAATTAACCTAAATACATATCCTACTAATGTCCTACTTAATATTAAAAATGCGAAAGTTTGGATGTCTGGATGTTTGTTACTCTTTCACGCAAAAACTACTAAACGGATTTTGATGAAACTTTACAGTATTATTGTTTATAACCCAGATTAACATATAGGCTATAATTATGACGATCTGTGACAAACTAAATTTCACGCGGACGAAGCCGCGGGCAAAAGCTAGTGGAAAATAAAATGATTAATTTTTATTGACTATTTATTTCACAAAACCTAATAGGTACATAATACACAGACTGATTAAAAACAAAAGTAAATTTCAACTTATGAAAATACATATTCATTGTCGGATTAGCTTTCTATCATGATCTCGTAAGGCTGCGTTTCCACCAGAGATGTGCGAGGATGCGTAGCGAAGGATGTGTTTGTAAAGAACCAATAGAATCGCTTCATTTACCTCGCCTCGGTCAGCACATCTCTGGTAGAAAAGGCTCAGGCTGTACAACACTAATGAGCATTTTCAAATCTCTGCTACACATCCTCGTACGATACATTTTCCTCGCACAGCTTTGGTGGAAACCCGCACACATTTTCACAGCACAGCTAGACATCTTCGCACGACACAATTCCCTCGCATATCTCTGGGAAACGCAGCATCCTCTCCCTCCCCCAAGGATCTCCACAATGTGCCCGCATCCAGGTTCTTCCCGCGACCTTCACCAGATCGTCGGTCCACCTAGTGGGAGGTCTGCCCACATGCTGATAACATGTTCCATCGTAATAAACTTCTTTCCGACATAATTTAATAAAGAAAACACCTAAAATGACCTAAAACCACAATTTTATTTTGCTTTTCACACGTCAATAAGCCAGTGAGTTACGTTACTGTGACAGCTAAGGTATTTTTCGATGACATCTTTGAAAATTGCAACTCATGGTAAGTTATTTGTATGAAACTTAATAAAAACTTTAGTCGCTATCGTATTAATTTAGATAGGTTTTTTACCTAACGATTTGAGATGAACTCATGGTAGTGTTTTTAGTTTTGCTGTGGTTCAGCTACTAACCGCTAGAGGCGCTGTACAATTTGCCATACATTTTTTTACGCCCTCGATAGCGAGATGCTCGGTAGGTAAACTCATGGTAGAGGCACTGGACATCTTATCCGAAATCATTGTAAATAAAATTTAAATTGAATGAATGTGTGTATAAATTCGATTAATATGTAAGAACGCCGTTCATATTATAATTAAGCCAGTGCCTTTAAATTATTTTTGTAAACAAAACTCGTACTCATCAGGTCATTATTTTGTAATTAATACGAGGGCGGCACTGAAAATTTCGGGAATCAAGGAAGTGAAACAACATTACTATTTAAAAATGTATTTATTGCTTTTTAAAGTATTCTCCGCGAAATTTGACACATTTTTCCATACACGAAACCAATCATTGAAGCAACCATTGCATTCGGAAGTTTGGGTCTCCAAAATGGCCGTTTTGTAGGCTTCCACAGCTTCTTCAGGTGATGAAAATCTCTGACCACGCAATTTATTCTTTATTTTAGGGAAAGTATANAATGTAACAAGATGATGATCACGCTATTTATAACATTCATAGACGACAATGATCACGATATTTATAACATTCATAGTAAGTATTCTTTTTAATTAATAAAGGGTTTGGCATTATATTTCTTGTTTTTGTTTTCTTACACTAGATATGCATGTAAAGCCACTCAGTTTTTTTTCGTAACATGTTTTCAACATATTTGTCAGTTACGTATTATTTTAATACAGTATTTTTTTATAGCTACAGTATAAAATCCGACTACAGTTTTGACTATAACGTAGACACAGAATAAATCTATACTAATATTATAAATGCGAAAGTAACTCTGTCTGTCTGTCGGTCTGTCTGTCTGTATGTCTGTCTGTCTTTCACGCCTAAACCACTGAACCGATTTTGATGAAATTTGGCATAGAGATAGTTTGAGTCCCGGGAAAGGACATAGGATAGTTTTTATCCCGGTTTTTGAAACAGGGACGCGCGCGATATAGTTTTTCTGTGATGGACATAATTCCACGCGGGCGAAGCCGCGGGCGGAAAGCTAGTAGTATAATAAAGCATATTAATTTATTCAAATCTTTGGATTTGATGTAACGCAAAATGAGCCACAAAGTTTCACTTCCATTCTATGAGTACAATGATTAAAAAAAGTCCCTAACTATGTTAGAAGTATAGACAACTTTATTATTGATATGTTTTCATGCGATGAGCATTGACAAATTAAGTTATAAAAGAGGGAGGCATTAAAATCCACCGATTATCAACATTAAAAACGAATTATTTTGGCGTCTGCTTTAACAAAGACGAGTCGTACGCTTCAATGAGATCTTTTTGAGGGTAGCCGCCGCGTGCGCCGATAAAAATACAAAAAAAAACGTGAACAGAAGTTGAAAAAAGGTAAAAAGTGAGGTAAACAATCTGTACGTTTTTTACGCCAGTAGTTTGGGAGGGGTGCCGCAATTAACTGTAGCACGAGCGCGGACGCCTCGCACACATCTGCGATTGCACATCACTTTTCTGTACCATGATTGAATAAGATTTTAAGACCTTGTTCAGACGCGCGATAACCGCGTGGCTTCTGGGTGGTTCTCATTGGCGAGACACGGGGCGGTAGACGTACTGTTGGTTACAGTTTGATGCAAATGTAGGAGTACTGCCCAGCAACCGCGCGATTTTAGCTGTGTCTGACCCATAACATAAGTACACATAATAAATGTATTAACCTACTAACTTATCAGTATCATTTTCTTTTGTTCCTTATCCATTTGATTTTTAGTTCGGGTTTAATTTGGAGATCATACATTTAACGACCGTTAGCACCTGACTACCACTCCGACGATGATGATGAAATCTCAAAATTGTATTGATAAGAAGGTGATTAGAAAGCCACTCTATGCATTTGCTTTGTAACTATTTTACTTATCATGAATTATTTTATGCTAGGGTGATGTGTGATGTGGTTCATGTTTGTCTTATTCAAGATTTTCCAAAAATGCTGTATTTTCCAATTGAATAGCTTTATAACAATGTATCCCTCTACTTGACATAAAAAAAGTTTGACGAAATCTATGCTACAAGTAATTCGAATAAGTTTACTGAATTAAAATTCTCACTAATAACGGAAATTCCCAGCAAGGGCCCTCAAGGAATTCGGTGTTTGAATATGATTTAAATACGTTTGATTATAATCGCATTGATCGTGGTCAGACACGGGCAAGCAACAATTGGCGCGGCCCGCGGAGGGTGCGCTCTTCCTAGCAGCGGTTGACCGCCTGGAGAGATGTCAATCATTTGAATTCCACCGTTCATTTGTTTGAATGCATATTGTTACGTTTCCAGATTCCGTTAAGATTTTACGATAACACAATATCAATATAATGCAACCAGCGAACTGAATATTGTGATTTGAGCAGAAATTTTTACTTTTCTGAAGTTTTCCTTACAATCGATGAAGTGGAAAGTGATTCGTAACGGTCATGCCATAGAAATGTAAATCTTGAACTGTTTGGCTACTTTTACTTGAGAATTTGATAAAATCAGATTTAACAGAAACTTCTCAATGTGTGACAGTTGATTTTATTCAGTTTTTTCTCATTCCTTAATAATAATACATTTGATTTGTCTCACCGGAAACCACTTCAGCGTTCAAATTGCATTTAGGTAGGTAGGCACATAACTTTTAAAAAAACTTCATTGCGACGATCAAGTTTTTATGAACTGCTATCTACACCTCATTATTTATTCAGCGACTGTGCCTACAAGTTTGATTGCCATCGGAGCAAGAAATATTTCGATGGCAATTAAAACTTTAATTTATGAATAACGACGGAGGCTCCTTCGCTGTCGTCGGCCGGCAATATCTCAGGATATTTGCGGAGCCCGCGCTCCCGTCGGACGGGGTTACGATTATGCCTTGTTTTTCATCGCCATCCCAGAAGCAAGCGGCAGCCGCTGAAAAAAAAGAAACCAATTTTGCACGCTCATTAATTATTTAAATCTCATTAAACAGCCGCAAGTTTCCCTCTCTTGTTTTGTAATTTCGCGACGCTCCGGCTAATTCGAGTCGTTGGACAACAGGGGAATAAGAACTTAGACTAACAAAAATTAAAGTCTGTGTACCAATTTCGCCAATCCAATTTTTCTGAAGGACCTAGAGCATGATTTGTGTGTTTAATTGCGTATTGTTATGGCTTTCGGTTACTATGTAGAGCAATGTACCTAAATACTTAGAACATATTTGGCTTCTGAACTAAGTTCCTTATGTATCTTAGTGTAGGTATTTATAGTTCTCCATGAGACAGATTAAAACAAAAATATTAATGTATTGTGTATTAGGTACCTAACTACTCGAAATTAGGTTACTTTTAACGTAAGTAGTTACTTAATAGTACTTAGTAGTATAATTGACATTTGTTTCTTGAAGTTGTACTTAACGCAAATTATTTAATTTTAGACGCAATTACGAGTACCTTCTTAAACATCAAGTAGAAGTCATTTTTCAGTGTGTAAATAGTGAAATTCATTAATTGTTTGCACAGTTTGAATCAAGTTTTTTTCCATACCACTAAAAACTTTGGGGCTTTATCTTTCCAGTAAAATACTTAAATGGCTCTATTAAATTCTATTACACTCTTGATGTCACGATTGTCACCACAATCGAGGCAGGCACGCTTAATTCACCTATACAGGAAATCATTTATCCTCTCTGCAATTAGGTTAGTCGACTCTAAAGCGTAAACTCAAAGGAACCAAATAAAAATCCATTTACAAGCTTCAAAGTCATTTAGTTGAACAGGAAATTATACTGCGTTGTTGTAGGCTCTACATAAACAGAAGTACCTTCCGTACAAACACTCGAACGTCCGCGTTGACGCTCGCTTCCGATTCGATGATAAAGTCTCTGTGGAACGTCTTGTTTTGGATGAATATTTGAAAATTAGGAAATTAAGCGAAGCTGGCGGCTGAAAGGTGCGGAAACGCAGTGTCACCGCCGCCCGCGCGCTTTGCGGGTAGTCTCGTGCCTCGAAACCCAACCTTCATCTACCTACTGTCTTTCTTACTTCAGTTACAGAAATTAGTGAAAAAAAATGCACATATTTTAACAAGTGCATGCTAAGCCTCTGATTCCGTTTAAAATCTATACAACTAAACCAAAAATTTTAATAAAGTGATTATTGTGTTCTACAATTAAGAAAGCTTGAACTCGCGATGCATTAAAAATACTTAAATAGTTAATATAATAAAACCACACAGTTATCATTTATTAGATTAAATTAGTTAATGGAAAATTTAGTCATGTTCGTGTCTGAATCGCAGCCCAGGCCAAAGGCGACAGCGTAACGAATAGAGCCGAAAGTATACTTTTCGGGAGTCTTACGAGGAGGTGGAGGAAAAATAAATGATTTATTATAATCTCTCTCCTATCAGTGACCATGCACAGGAGAGTGCAAAACCTACATTCTTTCTTAAATAATTAAATGATACCTATTCTGGCAAAACTCAATTGTTATTAATATGCAAAAATTCAAATTGTGCAACAAACCATCGACTCTATGCTACAAGTTCACGCACCAGTTGCTGTTAGGGTTAAATTAACTTACCTATTGTCCGATATTGTTAAAGTTAATAGATGGTAGAGTTATATTTAAATCGCCCAAGTAACACCTATTTATCAATTGAACCATCGACCGACAGAGCCCACTATCATGGCAAATTTTTTTTTGTACGACTACGCAATTGTTCTTACTGATTTGTATTGTATTTCTATTCTAAATTATATTTCAATTACTTAACAACATTTAAAAATGTGGTATAATGTGCGTAACACTCTGCTCTCGCCTTAATTTCCCTGATATCCTACCTTAGTAATTTATGTAAGATGTTAATTACTGTAAGTACTCGTAATGTATATTGTATCCTAATAAAAACTAAAGATAGAATGTTGAAAATTGCATGTTAAGAATGTTACAAAGGTATAACATAAATAGAAAGAAATGAAACGTGTTATATTTATAGGTATTATTGTTGATCGAGTGCTCGAAGACAGGGGGTGGCGGTCGCCCGGGGAGGGCGATCACTCGCCCGTGCTTTAATTGCTTTTCACTTAGCAACCGCTCATGAACAGAGAACGCTCGTGAAAATGAAGAAAAAATCATTACATCAACATCTTTTAGAGATTGCCCAGATTTAGGACGTTCAGCGAGACAGCGACCTTCTTATATAACGCTTTCCTCTTTCTTGTTTTTCCAGCGCGCCTCATTTCCGGAAGGGGGTCGCGAGGCGGCGCGGGCGCGGGTGGCGAGGGGCCTAAGTAATTTCGCTTAAGAACTCTAAACGTAATTAGTGTAGGGCGTGCAAAGGGAAGGGCTTGAAACTTGGAGAGGGTTGCGTCCCGCGTCCCGCGCCGCTCGCCGCCTGAATATTTGATCGCGCTCGTCTCGCGATAATATTTGTCGGAGGAGGTTTCCGTAAACACGAGCACATTTCCCTACCTACTTGTACTTTCCTTCATCCCACTTTTCAAAGCTGTCGCGCGCTTTTAATTGGACTCAGTGTTATTTATAAGTAGACTCGTGATAGAATTAAAATCGCTCGGTACGGTGCTCTCGAATAGGTGCCTACACAAAATGTTTTTAATGTTATTAAGTTTTTTGACGATTTTTCTTTCAAGAAAATCCTCTTTATAAGACTTCAAACACATTTACAGCGTCTTTTGCTTTGACAGTTGTGATGAATATTATTAATTTTCTTTTTTATTTTCATTTCGTAATCTGCCACGCGATGTTGGTCTTGTGTGGAATTATTTTTTGTAATAAATTCGTATTTGATGAACATAGCAACAAAATTATCTTTACCATAAATTTTAGGAGCGTATTTGTAGGCAATTGTGACTATACTTAGTAACATTATTAAAAGCCTAGGTATGGAAATCATGAAAATGTTTTACATCTGGCCATTACAAATCATCTCTTACAGCAATAAATTAATTGTATGGACTAATTACCTATTATTTAGGACTAATAATGTAAGTAATATGCCTTAGTGCTTTCACTTTTTAGAGGATTTTTATTCAGGGATAGTATTACGCACATGATTTTATAATAATGCCATCGAACAATTTCTTTTTTGCGTGTCATCTAGATTGATAGAATTATAGGAGTATCTAACAGAAATACTTATAATTAATCTAAATAAATTGGTTAGATTGTCTGCACTCCCCCTTTAGCACAAGACGAGAATTTATTTGATAGCCTGAAGAAGCAAAGGCAATAATTTACAAATTCAAAAGGCCTGTGAAACAAGAGAGGGAATTAGAATTTGTAATTAGCCGGAGCTCGGCGCGGCTACTCCTACGACATTTGATTAGCAATTATGGTAATTTGACTTAGAGCAGGGTAAGATTTCTTCTAATTTGTTAGTTAAATTATTATCGCGACTGCCAGGACATATATAATTTATTCCTTTATTCAAATATCTCTCTTAATTACGCCCATTTTTAAATACCATTCATACTTTCTTAGGTAATTAGAAAAGTCACACATTGTTTTAACGAGTAGGTAAAGGGAAACAGGATTCGCTGAATATAATAGGGATAAAGACACTAATTACTGTAAATTCCATGTTAGGTAAAAAACCATAATTTTAAATTATGTACATGAAATGTAGAGTTATTCTTTTTAAAAATAAGAATCGCTAATTAATCAGCAAGTATCGCTCAGTGAAGGTAGTAAATGGTTTTACCCATTTCACACATCATAATAATAAATTATATGTCAAATCATTGGTGGTAATAAAATTGGCAGTGCTGTAAAGTTGTATTTTACAATTAGTTGTACAGGGCCACTACATATCATACGAATAATTTTTTAAGCAAATAATATGAACATGAATCTAAAAGTGTGTGCAAATCACAAACAGCAGTACGTAATCCTGAGATAGCTTTTGTAAAGATTAATCGTTTAATTAGCAAATTTAATGTATTGCGAAACAATAATACTTCGTCACGGGGATGCAAATGCCGGTGGCGGTGGCTGGGGTGACGGGCAAAAAGTGCGTGCCGTCAGCCGCCGAGCAGCGCCACTCCGCGCGGTGCAATTTAATTATCGGAGCGAGCTCCCGCGCTTTACCCTTTTGTATCTTAACCCCCGGATGAAAAAATACTCTCCCATAAAATAGAGGACGGGTACGAAAAAAAGGAGCGTATGCAAATTCAGGATAAAATATAGCCCGTAAATGCCACCGTTTCTAAAAGAATATTAGAGACGTTTTTCAGTGGGTGGATGGGGGTGCTACTTTATACTTTGTCTCCTCGCGCTAAGTACTGCAGCGCCGGGTGTCCGCGGCGGAATCCGCCTTAATTTGCGACTGTTGTTCAACAATAAATCAACGTGCACGCTCGCTTCCAATATGCCCTTGGAGATAAATTTTACAACTGCTTTTATACTTCATAAAGTCTGGTGTTGCGCGAGGATTACCTACCTGTTTTACAATGTTTGTTTAATTTCAAAATTACATTTTTATTTGAAAATGGGTTTTTAGGGGACCTATTACCTAAATTTTATTAATTTAACTGTCTCTTTACCGCGATGACTATAAATACGTGATCAAAAAATGTAAATAATAGGTAACTTAACTCTACGTAGTCATTAATAAATATCTTGTACATTACATAGTGATTCATAAATACTTACTTTACGGTAATTAAATAATTTTTGGAAAAAAGAAATTACAATTTGTATTAATAACGTGTGATGTGATTAGCAGCGACGTAATTACAGAGTATTTAGTCGTGTTGTAAGATTGGAAGGTTTTTTCGGAAAGTAACGAGGGGTCACCTGAAGAGGAATGAGTTAATAGGTGTTTTAATTATTGAGGACGCGGCGGCGGGCTGCGCGGCCGGAGCCCGAGAAAGAGACAACATCAAATATTTAGCGCGTAATGCCGGCCGCTCT